GCGCATGTCTCCTTCAAAGGCTGATAATATGAATTCAGAGGCCATCATCTTTGGACTGACAACAGGAGATTTCAGTTGCATGCTGGGAGAGTGGGTTGAAAGCGGGAGCATTGAAATTCATTTCAAATCCGGTGGATTACTACACACTTCTGTGGGCTATACTTCAAAAGCGAGCGAGGATGCATTTCAGACAAACCCAAATACCTAATGAGCCACGACAATCACTTTCGTTTTAAACACACAAGCAATCATTTTGTTTATTGTGATTGATTAAACAGTAAACAATATTTGATTTGGTATTTTTCAAGACACTTCTATACAGCTTAAAGTGACATTTAAAGGCTGAACTAGGTTAATTAGGTTAACAAAGCATGTTTGGGTAATTAGGCAAGTTGTTATATGACGATGGTTTGTTCTGTAGACTATCGAAGGTAAATTTAGCTTAAAGGGGCTAAGAACTTTGACCTTAAAGTTGTGTTTAAAAAAATTAAAACTGCTTTAATTGTAGCCAAAATAAAACAAGTAAGACTTTCTCCAGAAGTCAAAAGTTTATCAGACATACTGTGAAAATGTCTTTGCTCCGTTAAACATCATTTTGGAAAATTTAAAAAATAAAATAAAATTTTATTTTATTATATAAAATAATTCTGACTTCAACTGTATGTCCCCTGTTTACCAATCTTTTGTAAGTAAATGTTCACCCGACACTTATTTTTAAGCTCCACAATGTGTCCCAGGATGTTTTTGTGTTTGCTGGTGGCTGGAGGGTGTGGCGAAGGGGTTGAAAAAATCCAAGTCCAGGGTTAACCATGAACCCTGACCTTAATCATCCCTGATTAGTGCTCTCATCCCCCGAGGAACAGGCAGTCTGGATCCTGGATTTAACATTGATTAGCTGGGAACATGTTGTTCAGCCTTCTGTCACCCACGTGGAGCATCGGCAGACATTGGAGTTAAATATGTTTACAGTCGGTCAGCTGGTCAGCTATTTTTGTGTGTTTGTTTGTTTCTATATTATCCTCTAACATACTACAGTTCTGATTCTTGAGTGATGATTATTAGATTACCATTGACATTTGCATTAATCGAACATACAGTTGAAGTTGGCCATTATACACATGATTCGCCTTCCTGTGATTTTTCTTTTTCAAATATTTCCCAATAAGGTGTTTAACAGAGAAAGGAATTTTCACATTATTTCCTATAATGTTTTTTTTTCTCTGGAGAAAGGTTTATTCGTTTTATTTTGGCTAGAACTTTAATTTTTGTTTCATTTTAGTTTTAGTTTTTAATAGTTTAAATGGTTCAAAAACACTTTCAAGGTCAATATTATTAGTACCCTTAAGCAATATATATATATATATATATATATATATATGTATGTATGTATGTATGTATGTATATATATATATATATATATATATATATATATATATATATATATATATATATATATATATATATATATATATATATATATATATATGCACAGTTGAAGTCAAAATTATTAGCCCCCCTGAATTATTAGCGCCCCTGTTTATTTTTTTCCCCAATTTCTTTTCAATGGAGGCAAGATTGTTTCAGCACATTTCTAATCATAATAGTTTTAAAAACCTATTTCTAATAACTGATTTATTTTATCTCTGACATGATGACAGTAAATAATATTTTACTTGATATTTTTCAAGACACTTCTATACAGCTTAAAGTGACATTTAAAGGCTTAACTAGGTTAATTGGGTTAACTAGGCAGGTTAGGGTAATTAGGCAAGTTATTCTATAACAATGGATTGTTCTGTAGACTATCAAAAAAAATTTTTGCTCTAAAGGGCTAATAATTTTGTCCCAAAAATGTTTTTTAAAAAATTAAAAACTGCTTATATTCTTGCCGAAATAAAACAAATAAGACTTTTTCCAAAAGATAAAGATATTATCAGACATACTGTGAAAATTTCCTTGCTCTGTTAAACATCATTTGGGAAATATAAAAAAAGAAAAAAAAATCAAAAGCGGGCTAATATTTCTGACTTCAACAACTGTGTATATATATATATACAAACACACACACACACACACACACACACACACACGCACACACACACACACACACACACACACACACACACACACACATATATATATATATAAAAAAAAAATACTAATACTTCCCTTCTTAGACTTTACAGACCTGAAACTTGCCTATAGCACTTATTCATTGTTGCTCTTGGTTGTGTAAATTGCTTCCTTGTCCTCATTTGTAAGTCGCTTTGGATAAAAGTGTCTGCTAAATGACTAAATGTAAATGTAAATATATATATATATATATATATATATATATATATATATATATATATATATATATATATATATATATATATATATATATATATATATATATATATATATTTCAGAAGGTAAATCAAAGTTAAATTACAGAAATTTACTGTAAAATAACAGAGGTTGAATTACAGAAATTTATCAGAAATGTATATTTAAGTAAATCTTTATAATTTAATGTCTGTTCTTTTACAGTAAATTTCTGGAATTTAATGCCTGTTATTTTAACATTTTTTAATAAAATAAATAATAATAAACCGTAAAAATACAGATTTTTTACAGTGATAAACATTTTCTTATTGTATACAGCTCAAACCACTGATATACAATGACTTGCCTAGTTAACCTAATTAACCTAGTTAAATGTCACTTCAAGCTGAATACTAGTATCTTGAAAAATATCTAGTAAAATATTATGTATTTTATGTATTTTATTGTCATCATGAAAAATGTTATAGTAAATGAGTAATAGTAAATGTTTAAAAATGTGTTGGGAAAAAAAATCTTTCCATTAAACAGATGTTTATACAGGGGGCTAATAATTCGGGAGAGACTTCAACTGTAGTTCATAACATCTGAAAGTAAGGTCATATTTGAAAATAAACATCAAAAATGATCATGTGTCTAAAAATTACAGAGATGGTGTTATAGATGGTATTATCTTGGTGCTTTGACAAATGACACAGTTACCTACACTTATATTCTATGACCGTAATAAAATGCAGTAGCATTATACTGTTTATTCAATTAGATAATTGTATACAAAACTGTATAAGCCAATCTCTGCTTCTGTTGAACAGAGAAAATCTTTTTTTTTTTTTTTTGCTTAATATTTTCATTGCAAAAACTGACAAAACATTATATGTTGTCCAAAATAATACACAATATAAACCTATAAAAATGTACACACAATATTATATAGGCATATTATACACACAGGCAAGTCTGAATGACCAAAATCCACAGTTAAATTAAAATCTGAAAGCTGCTATGACAAATACAGTAGCATCTGTAGTAGTCTATGTGAACTATATGTTGAAGTCAGAATTATTAGCCCCCTTTTAAATTTTTTTGGTCTTTTTTTTTAATATTTCCCATATGAGCAAGCATATTTTCACAGTATGTCTGATAATATTTTTTCTTCTGGAGAAAGTCTTATTTGTTTTATTTTGGCTAGAATAAAATCTGTTTCTTATTTTTTGAAAACCATTTTAAGGTCAAAATTATTAGCCCCTTTAAGCAATTTTATTTATATTGTCAATGAACAAACCATCATTATAAAATAACTTGGCTAATTACCCTAACCTGCCCAGTTAATCTAATTAACCTAGTTTAGCCTTTAAATGTCACTTTAAGCTGTATAGAAGTGTCTTGAAAAATATCTGTCAACATGGCAAAGATCCGTTTTAATTTATTAGTTAATAAATCAGTTATTAGAAATGAGTTGTTAAAACTATTATGATTAGAAATGTGTTGAAAAAAAATAGATATATAATATCATTTTTCTTTGTTTCTTTTTCTTTTTGCAGTTTTGGTTTTCAGTGAAAAGATTTTCAAAAACAATGTGTGTATTCATGCAAATTGCTTGACATTTAATACACCCAACACTTTGTGTGGTGGTGTCAAAGAGATGTGCGGTCATGTAAATGTGTAGTCATGGAAATTCTGCCGAACCTGATAGTGCTGCAATACAGCAACAATTCTATTCTATTCTATTCTATTCTATTCTATTCTATTCTATTCTATTCTATTCTATATACCAGATCCAAACGTTGTCTCTGAGTTTGAAAGGGTGTAAGCTTTCACATATAAAATCATAATCATTTCGTACTGAAACAGGGCCCACTTACAAAACACACCATGAAATAGCTGTGAAATGATGCCATCCTCAAATTCCAAAAACACAGCTCAGCTAATCTAAGAATTCTGCTTGAATTTCCCTTTTTTTTCTCTCTCCATTCTAATTTTAACCTTTTCAAGACAACAGCGCGCAGATGCATTTCCCAGTTTTCCATTTGCACTGCTGGTAGCAGGTCTCAGACGACTGCATGTAAACTAGGAGCTATAACCCCCTCTAGGGTATCAAATCCTGGACTCTCATTTCTAACTAGGTCAATGCTTGCTATAGCTGCAGACTCTCTATTTCTCCTTTTCTGTCTGTCTCTCTCTCTCTCTTTTCAACCTCTGTGCACCACAAGATCCATTTCTCATCTCGTATGCATCAACATCACAGTAATTTGTGTCCATTTATACAGTCATTTGACTGTAAGCAATATTATCCTGAAAATAAATGAATGAGATTTCAAGAACTAACCATCATAATTGTGCCGTTTCCCTGGCTGTGTCGGTGTGAACTGTAAGAATGGCTGCAGTTGTTGAAGGCTTTTTTTTTTTTCTGTTTCGAGCTCTGGGCGACTGACTGAGTGATTGGCTCAGTTGCAAAACAGTCACGTCCAATAGTTCAATACTCCGCTCCCTCAGGTCTGCCAGCGCTGGCTTCAAAGAGACATCACGTGCGGATTCTTTTATCTTATGAAGGCAATAAATGTTTTACATACATTTGCTTTTGATGGAATATAGAGTCAAATAACAACGCAGAATGTTTTATGCCTTTAATTGGGGTTAGCGAATCTAAGCACGATACCATGTTGTTTTCTTTTCAGGATCAAGATATCTTATTACATCCACGGGGGCCTTGTATATTCTGGATGTGCAGTCGGAGGATGCGGTGAATATTTATCGCTGTACCACGCGGCACCGATACACAGGGGAGACCAGACAGAGTAACAGTGCCCGACTGCTTTTATCAGGTGAGCGGCCTTTGTGTTGGTGTCACTTCTCATAAACCTTCTGATTTCAATGATAAAAACAGTAAAAATGGTACAGTAAAAATCTGTAATCTGGTTCACAGTAAGACCCAATCCCAATTCTATTTCATACTCCTTTCCATTGGCCCTTGAAACAGAGTAAAAAAGGATTTATAAACATATACTACGCACCCTAATGTCTTTATGTCGTCAGTGTATCTGTCTGCAGACTGTAAGACAGGGGCGTAAGATCAAGGGGCGTAACTTGTAGTTATCGAGATCCCATTGAATCATGCGAGATGTCACAACGAGATGCTGTTGGCAAGATGGCAGAAATACTTACCAGAGAACATTTTCATCAAATGTTTTCATGGGCTTTCTCCAAAATTTGCCACAACCAATCCAATTAATATATAATTATAATCATTCATTTAGCAACGCCACTCACTGACTTCTTTGTCTGTTTTGTCATGACAGTTAGCCTGCTCAGGGTCACCCTCTGTGGTTACAAGTAACAACACAATGTCGAGCACGTCAAGTATGAAAGCCTCCACAACTCACGGCTGTTCGTTGATAACTGTAATAGTTGGGTTTAGATTTGGGGAAGGTGTAGATGTTAATAACTGTGATTGTTGGGTTTAGGGTTGGGGTAAGTGTGGACGATAATAACTGTGATGGTTGGGTTTAGGTTTGGGGAAGGTCTAGACGTTATTAACTGTGATGGTTGGGTTTAGGTTTGGGGAAGGTGTAGACATTAATAACTGTGATGGTTGGGTTTAGATTTGGGTTTGGTGTAGACGTTAATAACTGTGATGGTTGGGTTTAGGTTTGGGGAAGGTCTAGACGTTATTAACTGGGATGGTTGGGTTTAGGTTTGGGGAAGGTGTAGACATTAATAACTGTGATGGTTGGGTTTAGATTTGGGTTTGGTGTAGACGTTAATAACTGTGATGGTTGGGTTTAGGTTTGGGGAAGGTCTAGACGTTAATAACTGTGATGGTTTTGTTTAGAGTTGTGGTAGGTATTGACGTTAATAACTGTGATGGTTGGGTTTAGCTTTGGGGACGGTGTAGACGTTTATATTGATGATGGTTAAGTTTAAGTTTGGGTTTGGTGTAGACGTTAATAACTGTGATGGTTAGGTTTAGGTTTGGGTTTGGTGTAGACGTTAATAACTGTGATGGTTGGGTTTAGAGTTGGGGAAGGTGTAGACGTTAATAACTGTGATGGTTGGATTTAGGTTTGGATTTGGTGTAGACGTTAATAACTGTGATGGTTGGATTTAGGTTTGGGTTTGGTGTAGACGTTAATAACTGTGATGGTTGGGTTTCGGTTTGGAAAAGGTGTAGACGTTAATAGCGATCATGCTTTGGTTTAGGTTTGGGTTTGTGTAGACATTAATCACTGTGATGGTTGGGTTTAGGTTTGGGGAAGGTGTAAACATTAATAGTGATGATAGTTAGGTTTAGGTTTGGGCTTGGTGTAGACGTTAATAACTGTGATGGTTGGGTTTAGGTTTGGGGAAGGTGTAGACATTAATAACTGTGATGGTTAGGTTTAGGTTTGGGTTTGTTGTAGACGTTAATAACTGTAATGGTTGGATTTAGGTTTGGGTTTGGTGTAGACATTAATAACTGTGATGGTTGGATTTAGGTTTGGGTTTGGTGTAGACATTAATAACTGTGATGGTTGGGTTTAGGTGTGGAGTATTCGTAAACGTTAATAATTATGATAAGTGGGTTAAGGTTCGGGGTTGGTGTAGACATTAATAACTTTGATGGTTGGCTTTAAGTTAGGGGAAGGTGTAGACGTTAATAACTGTGATGGTTGGGTTTAGGTGTGGAGTAGGGGTAGACGTTCATAGCGATTATGCTTGGGTTTAGGTTTGGATTTGGTGTAGACGTTAATAACTGTGATGGTTGGGTTTAGGGTTGGGGAAGGTGTAGACGTTAATAACTGTGATGGTTTGGGTTTGGTGTAGACGTTAATAACTGTGATGGTTGGGTTTAGGTGTGGAGTAGGTGTAGACGTTAATAACTGATGTACAGTGCCATCCTGCTGACAACATAGCTCTGACATGTGGATCTCTATAACTTCAAGTTACACCTCTACTACAAATTACGCCTCTTCTTGTTACGCCCCTGTCTTGCAGTCCGCAGACAGACCCTACTCGTGTTCTCTGTTTTGCTTCATATGGAAGTTGAACTTAATGCATTACGTAAGCGCTAATGCAAATCTTCCATATGAATGAACTGAAAACACTTGCTCTGATGTGCTCCCATTGTGCCATTGGAAACACACCGTTGCATTTTGCATTTTTGTCAGAGAGCGATGTATGCCCACAGCTGAAAAAGTCAACTTCTGTGCGAAAAAACACCTGATGTCATGCATTCCAGCACTAAGACCATTGATAAAGTGGTTGCCAAGCAACATAAAAAGTGCAGGTCACTACTCTAATGTCAACAAAAAAGCAGTTTGGTTCATTTCGCTTTATCCTAACTTAATTTTTTGTGCAGTTTTCGGACAGATTGGCCATTATCAAAATGTTAAATTATTAAATTTAAATATGTTATATGTTAAATATTTTAGTATGTGTCTCTCCTTGTGGGAATATTGTTTGTAATGTCATATGACTTTCTCATCAGACACGCTTATGGTCGTATTTTAGTAATTGTGTACAAAGTGTAGATGTTAGTACTTCAAAATATTTGTGCTTAACATTATAATAGTAGTTTACTGTACTATTTTTGGAATTTTATGGTTTCTGCCATATTTTTAACAGTAAAATATGATGGATAAGTTGGCGGGTCATTCCACTGTGGTGATCCCTGATAAATAAAGGGACTAAACCGAAGAAAAATGAATTAATTAATGTTTTTCCTAGAGATGGGTTGCGGCTGGAAGAGCATCCGCTGCGTAAAAACGTGTTGGATAGGTTGGCGGTTCATTCCGTTGTGGCGACCCTGGATTAATAAAAGGACTAAGACGAAAAAAAAAATTAATGAAATAATGTTGAAAAAGAATCAATTTTGAAGATTGTTAGAAACCATTGGCTTCCATAGTAGGAAAAAATATATAATATAATATAATATAATATAATATAATATAATATAATATAATATAATATAATATAATATTCATACTTTCTTTCAGAACCTGTGGATTCTGCTCCGGTGATTCTGGATGGGTTTGAACGGAAGGAGGTTATGGTGGGTCATCGGGTGGAGCTCCCATGTAAAGCATCTGGTCACCCTCCGCCCAGGTATCGCTGGCTGAGAGACAACAGTCCATTGGAATCAGATAGCCGGTACCATCAGAGTGTATCAGGCCTCCTCATCGAGGCCACACGACCCAGCGATGCAGGCAGTTATGTGTGTGAGGTGTGGAACAGCTTCGGAAATGCCAAAGTGGTCGGACGGCTGGTTGTCAAACGTAAGTTATCTTTTACAATTTTTTTATTTAAAATCTCATTTTTGAGATCTACTTGTATTGTTTTTTGCACAATATCAAAGCTAAGTATAGTACGAAGTTTATTTCACAAAAACGTTTAGTTTTTCGGTCAAATCTTATTGACAGATATGACAATTAGGTCCCACTTTATATTAAGTGACCTTAACTAATATGTACTTACACAGGAATTAAAAGTTTGAAACAATGTACTTATTGTGTAAATACATGTATTTACTGTGTACTTATGCTTGATTAAATACCTGTATTTATTTTTTATGTAAGTACATAGTAGTTAAGGACACTTAATATAAAGTGGGACTGACAATTGTTTTAAGCAAGTACAAAAAGTATTTACACTGCTAGTCAAAAGTTTGGGGTCAGTAGGATTTTTAAATGTTTTAAAATAAGGTTTTCCTGCTCACCAAGGCTGCCTTTATTTCATCAAAAATAGAGTACCAACTGTGAAATGTTATTACACTATAAAATAACTGTTCAAAAGTAGTTTATCATTTAATTTAATATTTTATTCCAGTGATTTTATTGATGAATTTTCAGCTTCATAACTCCAGTCACATGATCCTTCAGAAATCACTCTATTATTATTATTATTATTATTATTATTACTATTATTATTATTATTATTATTATTATTAATAATAATAATAATAATAATAATAATAAAATCAATAATAATTGGAGTAATAATTCCATTTTAAACTTCATACAATAAGTTATAAACAAATAAGTATTAACCAATTGAACTTTTTCTTTTTTTACATTTAATAAAGTTGCCTTGATGAACATAATAATTTTCTTTAAAAAAAAAAAAAAACATGAAAAAAAAAAAAAAAAAAAAAAACGACCCCAAACTTTTGACCGGTAGGGTATATATGACAGTATCAAAGGTTGAATGTATTATTATAAGTTTTAAATGTGCTCCATCCAAAAGAAAATCTGTGCAAAATCTTTCAACAACATAAAAACAAAATGGCTGCCAGTAGCTTTCATGGTCATTTTACGTAATTCCCTGTGATTTCCTGGTAATCAACTAAAAACTCTTCCAGGTTAAATGATGATAGGCTGTTTTTTTAAGTGTAAAATATCAACAGAAAAAAATATGTAAATTTTTTCATATTAAGGAGACTCACTTTGACTGGATCATTTGAATCTATGACCATATCCACATGTATGCAGGTGTTTTTATAAATGGAGATTTCCCTGATTTGATTTAAAAAACCTCTGTCTATATGAAAATGCAAAAATATCATGTTGGCCAATCAGAAAGGATTAAACAGAGTGCATGCTGATGTCATGAGGCGAAAACAACCACCACACTTTACACGGAATTTTGAAAAATCCTCAACCTGGCGTGCGTTTCTGAAAACCATGGTTATCAGACTAAGGTCTCAAGTTTCATTGTTGCAAACATAGTTCGATGATTTGGCATTTCCCAAATCCATCATTCCAAGGAACATTTGCAAACTGCACGGCAAACTTGGACGTTTCCAACTGCACCTCTGGAGCTGTAGTTGGAAGCAAAGTTCCCGGTTGTGTTCTATAGTTAGAAGCAAAGTTCCTGGCTGTGTTTTATTCCCAGCTATCCCCCTATGCCCTATTCATTTAGAACGTTCCAACAGTTAAACTTGGAATGATTAAAAAAGCATCAAGTCAACTCTCTTATGTGTAATTTGCTTTCAAACTATTTTTACAGTTCAGTTTTAGCGATCTTGACAATTACGCTCCCTTAGCAGTGCACTTTGAAAACACTTGTGCCATTTTGAATATGGCTCATGATGGAAGCTATATGTGACCTACTATTTATAAGTGGAACTTACGTTACATCTTCAAAACTTGTGAAAACAAAAAAAAATATAGCATATGTTATTGCTTTTAATATATTGTAGGTTATTTATTAACCCATTTAAGCCCACCGGCAACTATATGCCAAAGTTCAGAGTTGCCATTTTCCTTTTCTAAGTAAATTTCTACATGTTTAATTTATTAAAGACATGCAAGCAAACAACCAAATTAAATATTCCAAGAAAGAAAAAAAGGATTTACTTTGATTTACTTCCTGTCATATGAGGCCTTAACCTTCCAACCCCTAATTTCAGGATGCAAAATGGATGCAAACCCTTTTAAATGAAGGCCATTTTCATGATACTAAAAATTATTTTTTGTTCACCAATATATATCGACATAATCATGAAGGTTTCTAGATTCATCCAAACAAAACAAATCTTTCAAGAGATCTGAGGTTTTTGTATACTGTGTCAAATGTTCAAGCGGCACCTATAGTTGTCGGTGGCTGAATACCTTGTAAGTATATAAATCATGGGAAATTAGGGAATAATGTGTTAATAAGTTAATAAATGAAGGTTATTGTCCTTGTTTAATGATCTTTGCTTTCATAATACCCCATCTAAACAAAACAAAACCATTTAACTGATATATTTACTTTAAAGGGCACATAGTTTACCCCTTTTTTATGATTTAATATTAGTATTATGGTTCTTCTGAGTGTGCCAGTTTAGGCTCAGTTCAACACACAGTTCAGATTTGTTTATTATAATGTGTTCAAAAGTGTCATGTTGGGGGCGTTTACACAGTTTGCTGTTTTAGAGGCGTGTTGCTTCACGTGAAAATTAGTTTCGGCTTCCCGCCCAACGTAACAAGGAGGCGGAGCCAAGAGCTCGCCCACTCTGTGTCTTCAACAGACAGGCAGACTGTGAGAAGGAGCAAGAGTGAGAGGATAAGCATTCAGTCGTACATGTACAACTCGGACACAGACCAAGCAGAGAGTACACAATCATTTGTGTCGTTGTATAGTTTTACAGACAGCTGTGTGCTAGTTTAAAGTGCCGAGCTTGACTGAGGCACCGGATGCGCACACCATACGGCAGAGACATGAAGTGTCGCGAATCGTCGCACTAAGCATTTTAGAACTCTAAACATAGGTTTCTATCAGGGTAAACACAACAGTGCTTGAAGCTAGGTTCCGTGGACAGCCGCCGACTTCAAGCGCCGGTGTGTTTACCCTAATAGAAACCTAAGTTTAGAGTTCTAAAATGCATGGTGCTGCGTCAGTGTCGCGCCACGCAGAGCGGCGTTTCTGGTGTGCGACCTGCAGGCAATTTGTTATTTTTTTCCAATGGAGAGACGTGCACGTGATGGGCATGCACTTTACAGCTGTCTACTTTAGTGAACAAAACCTGCATATGATGTGAGTAACAGGTAATAAAGTTGTAAATAATATTCAATTTGTGGCACAGAGTGATCGTTTGAGAGTCGCGTGCGAAGTATGAGCAGCATGCAGCAGTAAAAATAAAACCCAAAGTGTGCACATCATTTAAATAATCATATCTCATTTTGTAGTTATGACTGCGACAAGCATTTGATCAGGGCCGGAGTGGGACTCATTTTCAGCCCTGGAGTTTCAAGCCAGACCGGCCCACCTCAGTTCACGACTGATTCCAATTCAGTTACTAATGGCACTATCACGTCTTTTTCAAGAAAACTGCTGCTTTAGAAATTCAAATGTTCAACAGCCCTAACAGTATTTTATGTCTTAACAATAAAATCTAAAAAAAAAATTAAAAAAAAGATATTTCAAGGTAGAATCGATCACAGTTCTGCGTCATTGAATTGCAATGTGCTTACCACTGGACCACATTGGCGCTAATACAGGGAGTGTAAAAAATAATTAATGACTTGCGACCCTCAAGACACAGCACTACTTTCTTTTGATGGCTCAATCTTTTTCTCCTATTTTTAGATTTCTGATCAAGTTATGTCAGATTTATTAATGTAGTGAATCATTTGATTTTCATTGAGCAGGTGTATTGTTCATTTTATTCGAATTCTTATATTCACTAAGGTGCCGCTGTTTGGGGTCGATAGTTACATTACATCATCGTCATTAACGCTAACCTGCAGGTTGCATTTTTCTCACGGGGCTGCGAGAAAATAAATAAAAAGAGCGGCACTGCGGCAAAATAATGATTAAAAAGAGTAAAGCTATGGTCAAAAAAAATAAATAGAAGAAAAAAGTGTGACTGCTGAGAGTGCAAGCAGCTAGGGACACCGGCCCTCGCGGCCAAAAAACAGACCGGCCCACCCCGGTCCTCCCGATTAGCCAATCCGGGCCTGCATTTGATATATACAGTGTCAGTATGACTTTTCTAGCCTGTTGATTTTACCAGTGAATTAAATGGTCTAATAATGTTCTCAGATTGCAAGCATAGGCCTATATCTCAAACATAATTCAACATCAGAATTATTATAAGTAGAATAGAGCTATTTATAGAAACCAGTAGACCGACAGATAATATTAATATTGTTGTTTTACCACATGTTTGAGAAAAAAACAATAATCTCACATTAAGCTTTATTTTGCATCTACAGCATCGTGAGAGAATCTCGATCTTTATTTTAAGCCAAAAAAATGCGATTCTCATTTTAGCCAGAATCGTGCAGCTCTAGTATTTATTATCAAATTCATTTAACAATGAAAGATCAAGTTGCATGTGGTGTGGCTTTGCTCCACTTGATTATAAAATGTGTTCATATGTCTGAAATATCTGAAACAGTAGTACTGTTTTGCATTGTTTCATGAGATTCCTGATTTTGTAAAGAGGAAAAAAAAAAAGCTGCTTCTCGCCGCTTATCGCCGCCGACTCTCATTGAAAGTTAATGACTTCCGGCTACTTTGACGCTCTCGCCGCTTTCGGTGTGAACGTACAGTTTGTTATAATGTAAAAAGTCCATAATGATGATTAAAAGAGGGTGGAGTGACAACTTCATTAGAGAAAAAAAAAAAACATATTTTTTGGTCAAATTATATTTGTGTGAGAGTGTTATTTTAACTCTTTGTAGGAATGAGACGAGTAGGAGATGTTAATTTTACTCCTAGGATTTTGCTGTATATCAAATTGTATGTCAAAAAGGCTACTTTTTCGTAAGCTTTCCATTGAAAAACAACAGGCTGCAAAGGGTGCTTAAGGGGTTGTAGCTTTAAACTGATGTAGAGTTTTTCAACATTACTCTTGTCCTTTTTGGTGTAATCTATTCATAAACATTGACATGTGGAAAAACAGCGCCTCAGTGCGTCCTCGTTGGGGCGCTGGGGAAAGGGTTAAAATGATGTGCAACAAGTTTTTTATGAAATGTTGTGGAGTAAAAAGTCAGATATTTTGCATTGGAATGTGCTGAAGTAAATTTATTCAAAATAAACTTGCACTCATGAAGATAATTTAAAGATCCCACCCTGCAAGATGATGGGAAATGGGTGCACCTCTTTACCACTATGAAAATGCTCTGTAATGGGGGTTCACTCATGGTTCATTCATTCACTAGAATGACATGTAAGCAGGGTGGCTCGGTGGCACAGTCGCCTCACTGCAAGAAGGTCACTGGTTCGAGTCTGGCTGGGCCAGCTGGAATTTTGATCGGAATTTGTCTTTTCTCCTTGTATTCGCGTGGGTTTCCTCCGGGTGCTCCGGTTTCCCCCACGGTCCAAAGACGTGGTATAAGGGAATTGGATGAACTAAATTAGCTGTAGTGTTTGAGTGTGTGTATAAATGTGAGAGTGTATGGGTGTTTCCTGATACTTGGTTGTGGCTGGAAGGGCATTCGCTGCGTAAAACATATACTGGAATAGTTGGCGGTTCATTCCGCTGTGGCGACCCCTGATAAATAAGGGACTAAGCTGAAAGAACATGAATGAATGAATGACATGTAAACGTGTTTTAAAGCATTGGTTTAATATATGTGCATTTTTGTTTTTATCTTTCCCAGAGCCTCTGAAAGCAGTGGTGAGCCCACGGAAGGTGAGGGGCAGCGTGGGTAGCCAAGTGTCTCTGTTCTGTAGTGTGACTGGCTCAGACGAGTTTGACATCACCTGGTACAGGAATGCGGAGAAGATCTATCAGGGTATAAATGTACGAATCACGGGCATTAACAACGAGAACCTGGTGATGGAGGGAATGGCCAAGAGCGATGGAGGAGCGTATCAGTGCTTTGCTCGAAATGGAAAGATGTCCACCCAAGACTTAGTTCAGGTCGTCTTGGAAGGTGAGTCCATCTTGGTGGTTCTGTTCTGGGACGTAATGTCATGTGCTTCAAGCATTGCTGGAACAAAAATCTTCATTTAATATTCATTCTAATCTCATGTCATATACTTCATTTATTTTTCCTAAATAGTATGAATAGTATGAATAATATGTGAATAATTATAATAATAATAAATAATAATAAAAAAGATTTTAGCTAGATGATTTCAATTGAACTGACATAAATCCCTGTCATTTAAACAACTGCTTACGTTATCAATAAATTAAGTGTTCAAATTTTTATTTTAAATGTTTTTTATGCAGTCACCAAACCACATTAACTCAGTATTACTGATAGATAGATAGATAGATAGATAGATAGATAGATAGATAGATAGATAGATAGATAGATAGATAGATAGATAGATAGATAGATAGATAGATAGATAGATATTTAGATAGATAGATAGATAGATAGATTGATTGATTGATTGATTGATTGATTGATTGATTGATTCAATCATTGATTCATTTATTCATTGATACATTTATTTATTAATTTACTAAATGACTGACTGACTGACTGATTCATTCATTTATTCATTGATTGATTGATTGATTGATTGATTGATGGATTCATTGATTAATTAATTAATTAATTAATTAATGTATTAATGTATTATATGTACACATTTTGTACATATAATACACATTTTAGACTTTATTTTAAACAACTGTTCATTTAGGTTAATAAAGCTTGTGTTCATCTGCCAGCACATTTTAATACAACACCCACATCTGAATATCAATGCACACAGTTATTTTTCTTTGTTGAACATACATGTAACTGTGCGTGTGTTAATTAATTAATTCATTCATTCATTCGTTCATTCAATTATTCATTTATTTATTTATTGACTGGCTGACTGACTGTCTAACTGGTTGAATGGTTATTTAGTTAGATGATTAATTGAATGATTAAATAATTAAATAATTAATTAATTCATTCATTCATTCATTGACTGACTGACAGTTTGAATGGTTGATTGGTTGGTTGGTTGATTGATTGATTGATTGATTGATTGATTGATTGATTGATTGATTGATTGATTGATTGATTGATTGATTGACTGACTTAATTAATTAATTCATTTAATCAATGACTGACTGACCGACTGATTCATTCATTCATTCATTCATTTATTCATTCATCAATTGACTGGTTGAATGGTTGGTTGGATGAATAATTGATTGATTCATTTATTGATTCATTCATTTATTTAATCAATGACTGACTGACTTACTCATTCATTTATTCATTCATTTATTAATTAATTCATTCATGAATTCATTGACTGACTGACTGGTCGAATGGTTGGTCGAATGGTTGGTTGGTTGGTTGGTTGATTGATTTCATGTTTTTTTTTATTTTTTTTTTATTTATTTATTTTTTGCAAATGCCTTGAAATTGTACATATAATACACACTTTAGACTTTATTTTAAACAGCTGTTCATTTAGGTTAATAAAGCTTGTGTTCATCTGCCAGCACATTTTAATACAACACCCACATCTGAATATCAATGCACACAGTTATTTTTCTTTGTTGAACATACATGTAACTGTGCGTGTGTTCTAATAAAACTCTTTCCTGGACTTTACTGAAGCTACTCTGCCCTGCAGCTGAATAGATTTTTTTGTTTCTGCTTGGTTGCTGGGGCAACTGTCTCCTGTTGCCACAAAACCGCATAAAGAGGATATTGATAATCTATAACGATGTTTTAAAAAAGCCACAATGATCAGAGAGTAAAGACTTCAATGGCACTAGGCTCAAAACGCAACTATTTTCCTGCAAAGTGTCAGTTCTATAGGAAAACGGGACTGAAAAGAAATTGAAGTAATGTCTGGCCAAGCGTAGTGTTTTTTTTTTTATTGTTCATAATTGAAAAATGTTAATATGAAGGAGCAGTTTTACAATCATGTTTTTTAGGTCTTGTATCAGGTTTTATTTCAACTGGGAACTAAATGCATTTTTTCTGCATTTTTTTCGAACTCCTTGGACACAAAAACCTTAAAGAATGTCCAGAACACATTGAAAAGACTCGATATTCTGCAACCTTGTTAGAAAGTTCTGCTTGTTAGAATGAAACTTCTTGAGACAGACATTTTTGAAATTCTTGATGGCTTTATTCTGGGTTCAGACTAATTATTCAGGCACAATTATAGCAGATTGTAGATTTGTAAACCTTTAATGACAGAAATTGAATGGCAATGGGTATATAAAATTTATAATTTTCCACATTTTGAAGATATTTTCCCATTATTAAAAATTAAACTAAAACACAACATACTCAAAACACATACCTCTCAAAGGCAAATCCAGACAACCAATAATAATGTAGTCTCTTAATTGTATCCAGAGCTTTATGTTACATTCAGTAAAGCTTATTCCATACTGCTGTACACTCTTAGAAATACAAAACCTGTCACTTTTTCAAAAGGTACATATTTGTATCATACAGGTAGACTTTAGCACCTTTAGGGTACACTATTGTACCCTAGTCTCACCTGTGCCTACACATTTGTACTGTTTAGGCATTAATATGTGCCTTTAAAGGTTCAAGACTCCCTCGAGTACTTAAATTATTATTATTATTATTTTTTATAGATTTGTGTGTGTTGAGCCTCAGTTAAGACAACATTAGCATCGGGCAGCTTTAATTGTTAGACAAACTGGATTATTTGATATTTTGTTAGCTAATTTCATCTTCCGGGTTTAAAATAATATTTGGATGAAGATCTGTGATGTATCATTTTTCTGCTAGTGGAGGGATGACGCGTCTGTTTCTCGTTATTATTCAAAGCTGACTTTTCTTATCCTATGAGAAGACCCTGCTTCCTAATTATTCATGAGAGCACGTGCTTTCTGAAGTCAAGGCAGACCTACTAAGCTGTAAGACCCAATGACTGGGTGAGACTGCATACGGCAAGCAGTATTTAGCCGTTCATGAAGGGTCATAACGTTATGTGTTTGTTTCCATGATTCATATGGTTTGTTGCATGTGTTTCCCCACGATGCTGTCCGGGCCAATACAGCAAAGCTGTTGGTTTGCTGCAAGCATTTTTGTCTAGAGAGCTGTATACAAAAATTGGAGAATGGTGGACTTCATCAGTTGAGTTCGTTACCATTCAGACACATTGCCTATATCCATGCTGCTGTGATCACCTATGTTTAAAATCCTACAGATTACCGGCAGGGTTAACGGTTGCGTTAGACAAGGCTAGAAACCTGCTTCACTGCTATCCATTGTGTCTGCATTTAGACCTGGGGATTCAGAAGGAAAGAAGTCCAACTGATTTATAGTGGTTCTCTTTATAATGAAATAAATTGTGGTTATATGTATATGAAATTATGAATAAGATATGTAGCAGGGCATTAAATTACTGTTTATTTCTTTGCATTTTAACTTTGCAAACTCTAAAATCATACGTCTCCTCATGGTTTGTGTCTCATTTTGTGAGCCAACTGACAACAGTTGTTCCCTCCCCTTTTTCCCCTGCTCTGCTGACCACGCCCACTCTTCGCTCTGCTCGCAGCGCTCGATGAAGCATGTTTTGAAAAAATTACGAGGTAGACTTAAACCGAATGCGTGTCTCTTGGCTCTTTAAGAAACTTTTTGAAACAAAAACCTTTTGAAAAGTGACCGCCCCAGTGACAGATTTTGTACCTTTATTTCTGAGAGCGTATGTAACAGGAGCAAAAATAAAACAGTAAGTCAAATCTGTCTTTGATTCCTCCAGATGGGACACCAAAGATCCTCTCTGCCTTCAGCGAGAAGGTTGTGAGCCCGAATGAGCCCATCTCGCTGGTGTGTCACGTGAAAGGAACCCCCCTCCCCACCGTCACCTGGACCCTGGACGACGACCCCGTCATCAAAGACAGCAACCACCGCATGGACCGCATCATCACCACAGAAGGCCACGTGCTCAGCTACCTGAATGTTTCTCACACGCAGGTCAGCGATGGGGGGGTCTACCGCTGCACCTGCAACAACTCGGCCGGATCGGTCTCCTATCAGGCTCGAATAAACGTAAGAGGTGCTTGTCAGATCAGCTCCTCAAAAACACCCACACCACACCACAATCACAATCACACACAAACATGATAGGCTTGTTAGGAGATTTATATGTGAAATTTTTATTTGTAAGGAAATTGTAGTTGTTTGAGATTAGCAATGTGCAGTCTATGCTTAGCAGATTAAGATATGTAATCAATAGTTATTATAATGAAATTTATAATAAGCAAATGAGCATTGATTCTATGTAAAGACAACCAATGAATGTGAAGGCAGCTCCTGTCTTTGAGGTTTGAACACACCAAGCCGATGGTCAGCCTTTGGACACTGTCAGGCCATCTGTAAGGGTATGTCAGGCTAGTTTTTAGGAGGGAGTTTGCCAAATCGAGAATTGGGGACAGACATAGGTGGAACACAGCGCTATGAATTAGAGCCATATCTGTAAACATTAGGATGTGAAAATAAGGGATACCACAACCCCACTTGGGTATAATAGAAAAAAAGTTGCAAATAAATGAAAGAGCTATAGCTATTTGATGACGGATGACACTTAAGGACTGATCTGTAATGTTCTACATGATCTATAACTGTTTATGCTCAATCGAACATAATTAGTTTTGTTTAAAATAAAACATGTCAAGACAGACATGTTTACTAGAGGTGTGAAACTACATGGTTTGGTTACGATTATCATGCCATCGATTCGGTTCATTTCGATATCTCGGTGCATTGACGATGCTTTCCATACACAGTGTTATATTTTGGGGGGTGGCTATAACAAGCTGTTTGTATACACACACACACCCACACACACATAGACACAAAGCAGCACACTGTCTCTCATTCACACACATACACAAACATAGACAGCACCAAACAAACACATACGCAACCACGCTCGGGACCGATATTATGAGACTGCCCACTGCTGGTAAAATTACACCAGAGTTACCGACCGCTATCGCACTTTATTAGGAAAATTTATTCTCGTGAATGCAGACCTATATCCAGAAGTATCGTTGTAACAGCCGAGAGGAAAAGAGAGGGGAGGAAAAGTCACGCCAGCAGGTAAAATGGGCCACAGTAGCCACGTTTCCACTAAAGCGCCTAAAGCGAACAAGCCAGGGCGAGCCAACAAGCCAAGGCCGTTTCCACTGTCACTTTCGGGGCCTAATCGGGCCAAAAGGCTGGCCGCTGACTTTTTTCTGTGCCAGCGGCCGGCCTTTTTCGGCCCACCGAATACTTTGGGCCAAAGAGGGCTAGTTGGGACATCGGGGCGAAGTGAAAGGAGAGGCGGACACTAGTTTTCCGATCGCACACGAGTACATGCGCCAAACAAATAAATAAATAAGTGAAAAAAAACATCTAGCCTTTTAGGCTGTGGTCTTTTTGAGTATGATCGCCCTTATGTTTCCCTTTTAAATGTAAGGCTGTTGCATAAAATAATAAAGTTTTAATTTACAAGTGACTTTGCTGCGTCCTCCTTGATGTTTCTATAACGCAGAATAATCTTTACACCGACACAGCAGACAGTAAAAATTAAATTAAAATGTTTCAAGTCTCTCCAGAGCGTTTGGGCTGAATGTTTGACAGCGTCTATCTAAACGAGGATGTTATAAAATACATTTCATACCGCGTTATTAACGGAGAATTTCTGTGGTTTGATGGATGGGTGCTGGGTCCCTCCGTTTGAGATGAGACCACTCGATACACGATGCCAACAGTCGGTCTCTAAGTAAATGAATATGATGAATGGAAACACACAGGCCTGTGCGTATAGACATATAATGTAATGCTGTACTGTAACGTGTAGTTTGTTTGTTTTGGTTGTCTTCATTTTAATGGTTTTGTGATGATGCGATGGTGTGCTTTATCTGCCTGATTCCCCCTGAAGTGGGCGGGTTGTGTGACGTTTGATTTGGGAGACATTCTGGGGGCGGGGTTTGCGTGATGCGCTGCGGGATACTAGCCCGTCAGTGGAAACGCTACATGATTTCGCCCTCACTGCTCAACCTACCGGGTGATTGGTCCGGCCCAGCCCGATAAAAGCCCTGGCTCGCACTGGCGAAATGGAGTTCACGTTCATACCCTCATTCGCAGTGAAATAGGGGCTTCTGCTGTAAGTCAGTGAAAGAATGTCTAGAAAACACACACACGCAGTGAAATTGTGCACAGTTTCTGCATTTTTAAGTAGTTGGCACCTGGAGTGTTGTAAATACCTGCGCTCACCTCCGTCGCGACAAAGCGCATATGAGATAAATGATGTCAGTACATAATGACCGGTTATGATTACTACTGAACCGATACCGAATTGTCCACGTCTGCATCGTGGTGCACTGAAGAAACAGTTCATTTTGACACCCCTAATGTTTAGATATAAGTTTGTGTATTAGTCTATTTTAACACCAATAGCCAAATCCCAAAGTGTACACTTTCACTCCACTTCAAATCACGTGTACAGAAGCTGCTCAGGGAACAGTGTCTCTTTATCACTATGCAGTGTGTCCATAGCATGAATTAACTGATTTATAAAAAGGGCAATGCCCTAAATGAAAAGTAAGGGAATACTGCCATTACTATATTAATTCCAAAATGCTTTCAAGCCTAAATAGAGCAAAAGTGATTCTGCAGAACTATGCATATATTGGGTATTAGCTTTATGTAGATGCCATCTTTCATAGAAAGATTAGAAATACTTGAAAAATACGGTTATGATAGCAGTTTAAAATGTCTAATGTAAAATGGGGAGAATCCTTGGAAATATGGGAGGGTTGATAAGTATGATCAGAGTTCAAGAACAATAATTAACAAAACCAAGTCAATAGATAATATCACCCTGCAGCCCGAGACCGGTTACTTACTAAAGCTAAGCAGGGCTGAGCCTGGTCACTAGCTGGATGGGAGACATGGTAAAACTAGCTTGCTGTTGGAGGGGTGTTAGTGAGGCCAGCAGGGGGTGCTCAACCTATGGTCTTTCTGAGTATCAATGCCATAGTAATGCTGTGTTTACACCAGACGCGGAACCCGCATCAAGCGCGAGTGAGTTACATGTTAAGTCAATGCAAACGTGCTGTGATACATGCGAATGGCGCGGCGCGAATTGACCGTTTTGCGCGTTTGATGCGCTTAACGCGCGTTTCGCACAAATCGCTCGAGTTCAAAAATCTGAACTTCAGCGGACATTGCACCACGTTAACCAATCAGGAGCTTGCTCTTGAGGGGGCGTGATTATGACATATCGCCTGTTGTGGGTGTCCCGGAGGAATTTCTCCATCCGACACCGACAAAAAGTTCATCAAACTGGGCTCAGCTCAGTCAGAAGCACAGCTGAAAGCCTCCGTCATCCAGGTAGAGTTTCTGGAGAAGTTTATGAGCTCACAGAGCTGGATGCACCTCTAAAAGGATCTAGTGGACTCAGACACGGCCCTAAATGTATTAACGCTGTTTTTCAGCCTACATAAAGCACATAAACACTGTTATTTTCTTCATAAAATCCATGTTAGCCATTTAGCAACAAAGCTACAGTCACCGGGCAGACAGAAGCCTTACCCATCACGCAAATCTGTGTCTGTTCTGAAGTGAATTTGATGCACGAATGAAGCTGGGTTTGATACGCGAATGAACCGAGTAAGCTCAAATGTTCACGTGGCTATTTACGCGTGAATACCGCTGTTTATCCACGCGTTCCGCGTCTGGTGTGGTCACAGCATAAAAGTGAACAGGACTCTATACTGTCAGTGGGCGGATGATGCGTTAAACCGAGGTCCGGACCTTTTGTGGTCATTAAAAATCTCATGGCACTTCTCATATTGAGTAGAGGTGTAACCTCGTTGTCCTGGCCAAATACCCTCCATTGACCCTTACCCATCATGGCCTCCCAATCATCCCCATCCTGAGTTGGCCCTATCATTGTCTCTCCACTCCACCTAGAGCTAGTGTATGGTGAGCGCACTGGCGTCGTTGTCTTGTGGCTGCCTTTGCATCATATAAGTGGATACTGCACACTGGTGGTGGAGTGGAGAGAACCCTCTCATGATTGTGAAATCTTTTGTGTGTATGTCCATACATGATAAATGCGCTATATAAATACACATACTTACATTACTTACTTACTTACTTACTTTTGATGACTTGGTCTGTCCTGTGCATTAGCCGGCAGCTAGCTCTCTGCAACTCTCACATGGTCGCCCACTGAAGCTAAGCAGGGCTGCGCCCGGTCAGTACCTGGATGGGAGACCACTTGGGAAAGCTAGGTTGCTGCTGGAAGTGGTGTTAGTGAGGCCAGCAGGGGGCACCCAACCTGTGTTCTCTGTGGTTCCTAATGCCCCAGTATAGTGACGGGGACTCTATACTGCTCAGTGAGCGCCGTCTTTCGGATGAGACGTTAAACCGAGGTCAAGACTCTCTGTGGTCGTTAAAAATCCCAGGATGTCCTTCGAAAAAGAGTAGGGGTTTAACCCCAGCATCCTGGCCAAATCTGCCCACTGGCCTCTGTCCATCATGGCCTCCTAACCCTCCCCATATCATGATTGGCATATCATCACTCTGTCTCCTCTCCACCAATCAGCTGGTGTGTGGTGTGCGGTCTGGCGCAAAATGGCTGCCGTCGCATCATCCAGGTGGCTGCTGCACACTGGTGGTGGATGAGGAGATTCCCCTCCCATTGTGTAAAGCTCTTTGAGTGCCCAGAAAAGCGCTATATAAATGTAACGAATTATTATTATTATTATTATTAGAGTTACCGACTGAAGTCAAGCAGTATTGCGTTCAACCCTACAATCATTTTAAAGCCCGCTCCACTTCCTTGACCACAGTTTAATAGCTCATTTGAAGGATGGTTCTTATTGTACAGTAGAGTGGCCCCATCCCTATACTGGGGTGCTAGGAGCCACACATACTGTAGACTACAGAGTCACATCACGTACACTTTACTACACATCTTCCAACCACGACTTTGTTTTTTAGAACGCTCCCCATCCAGATACCAGTTCCAACCCTGCCTCGCTTTAGTCTGCAACCAGATGAGAGCCGCAGAGTTATTGCTGCTATTTTTTTAGGGTTAGGGTTAGAAAGCATTGTGAGATGCTGGTAACTTGTAGTGCTAAGGCCAGTAACCAGCTCAGATTTGCTTGAGGACAGAATGTGAATGCTGATCCACTAACAAGACAAGATCTGGACAAGCACTATACTAGCTCCAACCAGCATGGAACACATGCTGCTTTATGCTGAATTTTTGAGAAGGAAAAGTAGGGCTTATCAACATTTATAAACAATTTATCACCTTTTATCCTAATGCATGCTCTTTTATGAAGTAGCCTGTTTGAAGTAGCCATTTGGTCAGAAATAATTCAACACGTTTATCAGTCTTCTATAAGAAATATTGATTAAAGAGCCCCTATTTTGATTTATAGAAGGTCAAAAACACATTCATTGTCTTATAATATGCATTTATCTTTACCCGATTATCCCAACCACTCCCATACGATTTGTTCAGCGATTCATTTTCAACCCCTCCTTTATGTGAGGCTATTCTGCTGTGATTGGTCCGATGACCCATTCTGTTGTGATTGGTCGACTGGGTTCAGCGTGAGAGAAGTAGCAGAGAGTAAGTGAGAGCCCAATGCAGGAATGCATTCAAGTAACGCAGTTAAACACCACCATATACTCTATTCTTAAACTTAACCCAAAGTAATAACAACGACGCACATTCAGTATTAATCCACACAGTGGCAACAGTTGGAACTATTTTGAAAATTGACTGTGCCGCATGTGTGAGGAACAGCTGATGGTGGCCATAGCAAGGGCAAACAGCTGATGATCATGAGATCAGAAACGCATTTAAATCGTAAAAGAAAGAAGCACGCGTCACGTTTTCTATGTGGTTTTGGACACAATATGAGTAGCAACATGAAGATTTACCTGAGAGTCACAGTACAAGCACTGATCTATAATAGATAAGCGATTACAAGCCGCATGGAGTGATTACAAGTTAGACCATACAATTAAATACATATTTTGCAAACTAAACAAAACGAGGCAACAATTTTAATGACACTTACAAGTTATAATACGGAGGAAGAAGAAACTGGTCCATATGAACTGTATCAGTTAGTTTGACAAAGTCTCATGCATAATAGTCTCTGCTGCTCCTTCCTTTAATTACAAATGGCAGATGAGTCCCGCGTTGCAGTGTAGGTTATTGTATCAAAAATCAGAAAAATAATAAGAACAAGCTCAGCACATGGTTGGCTATACTGTGGTATTGTTGTGAAAATGAACTTTAACCCTTTATTACCCGCAATCGAATCTCCATTTGTTAGTGATCGACAGCTTTGCATCATGATTAGTCCCATGATTCCCTGAGCTCCGCTATTGTCTGAAGGGAAAGATACATTTAGGTTTTACCGGATCCGGCACTACATATTTGGCGATGTACCATTTTGATGTTGACGCGTTCAAGATTGAATCGAACCCAACATGATTCATTTTTTCGACTCAGAATCAGTAGTTTTCAACATGGTGCACTTTCAGATTTAAACCTCAACTGGAAATTTGTAGTCACTTAGTGCTGTTACACACTGCATGGAACACTGCATCATGTTTAAAAACCTATAATTTTTGAGGTCACGAAGAACACAGTCTGTGGATATTAACCCTGGCTGGCCTGTTTAGAACCCCAGCTAACACTGGTCCAACAATGGAGATGCAGCTAATAGATACTGACTGGGATAACAAGGGATTAATAACATCTTACTGGCTGGTGCTCATTGTGCTGTAGTCCACTCAAGCCCAATGGTAACTCCATAGGTGAATGCTGCACATTGGTGGCTGTTGAAGAAGATTTCTCATCTGAATGCATGTAATGTTTTAAATACCCAGAAAAGCTCTATATAAATGAACGGGGAGGGCAATTAATTGAGTTTTAAGCACAAACAATATAACCAATTATTTGCACAAACTGTAAATAACTTTTAATGCTATCTGAGAACAGCACAAATAGCATCTTACTATTTCTGAAAAATAGGGTATTGTGTATTTAGAGAGTATCTGTATCCAGGTATGGTAGACTTTCTTGGTTTGAAGGAATGCATATTTGTTTGTTAACAGTAAGCGTATGTAAAATGCCTTCACTCTCATTGGTTGTTGATGCATTGTGCTCATTTACGTCAAATGTTATTTTACTTGCCAAAGTTAGGAATATTTGTTAGTTATTTAGTATGTTTTTTTCTAAAATATGTAACTAATAGTTATTAACACATACTACATAAGCCTATCATCTGACTTCCAGAGGCTCTGTTTACTCATGTTTCTTTCTCAAAATAGGTCCTGCCAGTATTCGACCAATGAAAAATGTCACTGCCATCGCTGGGAGGGACACGTACATACACTGTCGCATCATTGGTTACCCGTACTACTCTATTAAGTGGTATAAGGATTCCAATCTGCTCCCATTCAACCATCGCCAACGTGCCTTCGAGAACAACGGCACACTCAAGCTGTCCAATGTGCAAAACTCAGACGAGGGAGAGTATACATGCTACGTGTTGGTGGATCCAGAGAAACAAATTCACAGGAGTGTCCATGTGACAGTAAAAGGTACAGCTGTGTGGACAGATGTCAGCTTATTTTATTATTTGGGTAATAAACGTGTCATTTAAATTTTCTTAAAGCTATTTTCACTAGTATGAGTAGTAATATCAGAATTAAATTGACAGGCTATTTGATCAGTCATAGCTCAGATATTATAAGCTCCTAGCTTTAAGCTGTCCTTTTTTCATCCTTAACCCTCCTGACAGGTTTACATCCTGCCCCTTACTTTAGTGTTCCCAGTCAAAATTGCCCGGTCTGTTTAAAAAAAAAACATATTTCTCCACCAAATTTTTATTCAACATTCTTTAGCTGTGAACCATGTCTCAAAGTAGTGTTTAACATGAATTTATAGGTTTAGACTTAAAATAACTGCAGTGAAAAATGAAAAAAAGGTGCTGAAAATATATTACAAAATGAACAGCAGATGACAGAAATCAAAACTTTTTGTTTCATTACTAAAAAAAAGCTAACTAAAATAACTATCTGACCAAAGAAATTGAAATTTTTATCCATCTGAATGATTTATCATCCAGCAAAGCACAAACAAAATGCTATCCTTTCTTGTGCTCTGAGTGATCGAGATTACAGTCCTTCAGTTGTACTGGATTAGTGTACTAATATAGGGAATAGTGACTAAGGGTATAGACAGTAAGCATGAACACAGAACTAGCACTAGTTATGCTTTGGTCATTTTTGACCGAAATAGTAATGGTCTAATATAATAAAATAATTGTTGCTAAGCTAAGCTAAAAGTGCTCCTGCTAGATTCAGAGATTGGCTGAACGAAGATTGGCAGAAAGGAAAGAAAGAAAGAAAGAAAGAAAGAAAGAAAGAAAGAAAGAAAGAAAGAAAGAAAGAAAGAAAGAAAGAAAGAAAGAAAGAAAGAGAAAGAAAAACACATAGATAGATTCACAAAACAGACACCTGTCTAATCTGTGTGAAGATATGATACACTGTTTTATCAGGAAGTGGATTCACATTGGAGAGTCCAACACTTATACTTATACACATAACTTATTGGTTTAGTAGCTGATCCATATAAATTAAAAAAATAAATAAATAAAATAAACTGAGAAAACTTAAAATAGTTATGTTTCCTTGTGTGATCAGGCTGTAGGATCAGCACATAAGCGCGTAAAGGAGATGTCTACTTGCAAAAGACATTGTTCAGTCTTGAGTGAGTGAGTGAGTGAGTGAGTGAGTGAGTGAGTGAGTGAGTGAGTGAGTGAGTGAGTGGGTGAGTGAGTGAGTGGGTGAGTGGATGGGTGGATGAGTGAGTGAGGGGATGTTTTGTGTCTAATGAATAAATATAGCCTGGATACCCATTCATTTCCTATGGCGGTCACTTTTAAGCGGGAACACCACAGGTGTAACAAGGTTGATAAAAACACTCAAAATTCAATAAAAGAGATGATCATCACTTTTTATATGTTCAAATGCACAATGTGGAGGACATCAATAGACCTTGAGGCAATTAGATGAACAAAACAACATTCATGAGTGATTTAAGTTGTAAATCGGTCAGATTTGACCCAAACACAACAGGAAGGTTGAGTTAAAATATTTTAGGACTTTCAAATAACCAGGCACTGAAGAATACCTAAAAGAATCGTTTACATGGAAGGATTTTGTACAAGTGAAAAAAATAAACATATGCCTTTAGTTAACACAGGCTCATTCTTAAAACATAGTCCCGCGGACGATTCTGGAGACCATGAATAACGTAGCCGGAGCGAACACTACTGGGTGGTATGAGGCCGTTCCTTTTGGCGCTTACCGGCTGACTGCTTACCTCCTTGTGGAGGGCTTTGCCATGCCTACCAGTTTGTCCAGTTAGCTCGTCGTGTACGTCGGCGGACTTGAGACGCAGGGAGGGAGTTGACCACGACGACGGCCGGGTTCGAATCTGGGTAAGAGTGGTTCCAGAAGGCAGATAAGACAAAAACAGAATCCAAAACATAAAATGAACGAGTGAACAACAGGGTGAAAATGTAGTAAAATCTTTAAACGTGGTAAAAACCAGACGAGGGGTTTTCTTTTTCTGGACGGCTTTTGTAAACCGTCAGCTGGGTTTTGCAAAGTAAGCGGGTGGGCAGGTCAATCGGTTGGGTTTAGGGAAGGAATAGGGTGGGTCGGTTGATTGGCCGGTCGTCCCATCAATCATTCAGTCAGCTGACAGCAGCCTCCGGAGGGTTCACGCGAGAACAGCGCGGGCGCAAACGGCACTCGAGAGGCATTTGAGATGCGAAAAAGCGCACAAAGCAGCCTCTCGCGGATTCACGAAAACAAAAACTGCAAAAATACGTATCTCCCGGGACATATTTCGCTGCCTCCAGAAATGTCCACAGGACTACGCTTTTAGAATGAGCCTGGGTTGCCTTTAGTGGTTCAATCGAAAAATGATCAAGCTACGACAATATGTTTGTGACGAGGGAGCTGTCATATCTAATCTAAAATATTTAAATTTGTATTTTGAAGATGAACGGAGGTCTTACAGGTTTGGAACAACATGACTGAGTAATTAATAACACTGTTTATTTTTGGATGAACTAACACTTTAAGGGGAAGGTGTATAATTAATCATCAATGTGTTTAATTAAAATAAAAACAAGAATATGCATGCGCTCCTGGGGTCTGACAGATGAATATTTATAATTAAGACACTTTAATATAAGTCAACAGGAGCTCTTTGTTAGTAATTATCTGTTTCCTACGCTAATCTATTACTATTATGGAAATTTAAATATGTCTTAATTAATGTGAGATTCTGTATAAGCAGTGCGTGTAATAATACAAATATGTTTACAAAACTTTACATGTCAAAACACTGGACAAAATTGATCTCACTTATTAATTACCCAATTAAACTTGACCTAAAAACTTAACCTTAAAGTACAGGTATAGCACTAATTAGAATAATTCAGGCATTTCTATTATACCAAAGTTGTAAAAGGCACTAGTAAAACGGCAAGTATTCATTCCTGTTATTATGTAATAACCAATCTAGCATCTGTTTTTGCGAGTTCAGAGTCATAAAGACAGGGGGGGAATGCTGTGTGATTGAGTTAGCTAATTTGCTCCATTCATGCTTAAAATTCTGAAGCGTGCAAAGGGATTCCCCGGAGTCCATTATCCCCATTTTGTTGTGAATTAAATAAGCACTGAAGTGCTGCTTTATTTCAATGTTATTTTAACTCATTGATTCTCAAACGCGACAGGCTGACTAGCACCATGCTTGCGAAGTCCCCGGGGAACGCATTATGCCGAATTTACTGGGAGACGAAAGAGCCCTTTTATGGTCGTCTTTATTTTGTCTTTCTTTGCTCTGTTTCTCCCTCATTAGTTCACATTATGCTTCCTCCTCGGTGAAATCTCTAGATTCAGAGCTGTAATGGCTTGTTATGAAGGCCGACTGGAGCCTTATTATTGCAAATCGCAGCTAATTGTACATGTGTGATCACATATGTTCTGTCCACCAGGCCATATTGTATGAGTCTTTTGTCAAGACAAGAGTCATTTCTTTTAAATGTGGCGTTTCCTCATTGAACCGCGTTGCATTAAATCTGTATTTGATTTTAGTGGGAAGGACCTATAATGTAGTGTTGGACTGAAATTTTGCAAAAAATATCTACTGTTATGTGATATGTTATATGTAGGCCCACACGGAATCTGCGCGCGCAGAATTTCGCAGATTTCTGCAGATTTTTAGCCCATCATTAATTCTGTTTATATACTTGAGTAAATGTGTGTAAATCTATATTTATTTAATTTTTTTATTAAATTACAGTAATATTATTGACTAATATGAAAATGTTCAGGCGACGCAGTGGCACAGTGGGTAGCACGTTCGCCTCACAGCAAGAAGGTCGCTGGTTCGATCCTCGGCTCAGTTGGCATTTCTGTGTGGAGTTTGCATGTTCTCCCTGCGTTCGTGTGGGTTTCCTCCGGATGCTCCGTTTTCCCCCACAGTCCAAAGACATGCGGCTAAATTGTCCGTAGTGTATGAGTGTGTGTGTGGATGTTTCCCAGAGATGGGTTGCGGCTGGAAGGGCATCCGCTGTGTAAAAACTTGCTGGATAAGTTGGCGGTTCATTCCGCTGTGGCGACCCCAGATTAATAAAGGGACTAAGCCGACAAGAAAATGAATCAATGAATGAAAATGTTCATCTGATTTATGTGCAATGCAGTTTGTAGAGTAATATTTTCAGTCTTTTAGTAGATATATCATATGAGAGACTTGCTCCGTTTACCAAATAATGTGAATCTAATTAGAGTTGCAATTTAAGCATTAGATAAAAGTTAAAAGGTATTACTATTTATTAAGGTTTTAGTTATAATACTTCCAAAATAATTCCGCAGAAATCCACAGATGTTTACCAAAATTCGTCCGCAGATTCCGTCTGGCCCTATGTTATGCTGTCAATAGCCCCTTTCACACATGGATACCAGTAAATATCCGGAAAATTACCGGGAAATTACCAGAACGACTTTACTGGTAAATAAAAAAAGCTCTTCACACAAGCAAGAATGTTCAGGAATTCTATTCCATCTATTCCAAAACACCAGTAAATTCTGAGATCATTAACCAGAAATGACCTCTAAACGGCTGTGCTTTTATTTGTAAACATAGAAGGGGTCGGGCTTTTGAGCCGATGTTGATCAACTGACTCACAAATATGCTAAAAAGTATTTGCAAAATGCAGCTGACATGTTACTATGAGCTATTAGATATACCTGTGTCATTCACTCACAGAGACAAGATCTTTCTCGCTCCCTCTCTGTCTGCCTGTGACTGATTTAAAAGCGGATACTTGGATATCTAGTATGAACTGATGAAAATTCAGACAAATATTGGTAACACTTTACAATAAGGTCCATTAGTTAATAAAATTACTAACATGAACTAATCATGAACAACACATGTACAGCATTTATTAATCATAATTGAACATTTACTAATGCATTATTAACATCCAAGTCCATGCTTGTTAACATTAGTTAATGCACCATGAGTTAACATGAACTAACAATGATCTACTGTATTTTAACGTTAACTAAAATGAACAAATACAGTAGTACAGTAGGTGAGAGTTCAAAGTGGTTATTACTGCCGTATCATATACCGACGCCGTTTGAAATAACTGCTGCTTTGTTTTTAGTGTATGACCGCAGTTTTTGAATAAGCCGCCAGGGGGCGCAAAGGGACGGGATGCGAACGGACAGAAATACCGTATACAGCAGCTTTAAATATGCTACTGTGCTTGTACATGAGATTTAAAAATAAGTCAAAGCATTATAATTCCATCATTAATCATTTAAAATTTGCTTTATTGTAAACCTTTTAAGTGCAAAGAGGATTCATTTTGGAAAATAGAATTGAAAAGATAAAAGACAACTAAAATGAAAGCACAAACATTCAGTACAAATAAGTAGTCTTAAATAAATAAATAATTAAATAAATAAAGCAGTCTTTTAGCCTAAATATAGAAAGATGTTCAGTGTTATCTATTTTGATAGGACTAAGACAAGACATTTTCATTTATGTTTTTATTTCTGTTTTTATTTACATTTTCGTTGTTGATTATAGTTTACTATCTCATTTTATGTCTCAATTATTGTACATAATAATAAACGAATAATGAAAATAAATGAATAATGAAAATAGGTCTAAATAAATTATTTATTTAAAGACATTGCCGCGAAACACTGAGAAATGGTCAGAAGCATGGTCTAAAGAGCTTAAGTTGAATGCTGCTTCATCAAAAGCAAAAAAATAAATTGACCTACCTTGAGCAGATCACTAAAAGTATAATAAAAATATTTTTGCCACAGGACATAAATTAAGTCTCGCAGGTTTATTTTTAATAATTTAGTTTCAGTTCAGTTTTTTTTTTTTTTTCTCAAAACGTCAATGTTCTCCTTTAAAGTAGCTATAACTGTTGTTTTGTTTTGTTTGTACTTAATGGCTCAGTATGTTTTGTATTTTAATTTCAATTTCAGTCACCGTGCATGTGTGTGAAATATAATGTATTGTTCATTGTTTGTTCATGTTAGTAAATGCATTAACTAATGAAACTTATTGTAAAGTGTGACACAAATATTGAACTGCAAAGAGCAATATTAGTTTTAATGTGTTTATTACTTGGCAAATTATCATGGAATCAGCAAGATAATCAATGACTTGCCACGTGTTAAAGAATGTTAAATGCACTCCATGTCATTTTGGGTGTTTTTTGTGCCTCTGTGTTGTGTATGTAAAATATTTTAAAAAACTGCAATATATTGATTATCCCGTAGATATCTCTAGTTGAAAGATTTCTTCAAATCTCACAGAATAATATATATGTACAACTCAGAGGTCGCATTAGACTTTGTCATTGTCCGTCATTTTGATGGAGAGGGTTGTAAAAATTGCCAGAAGCTTCTCAGACTCTACTGACAGACTCGGGCCAGATATGGTTAACAGGTGTCAGGATAGTGCTTTACAGCCGCACCACGAACGCCACACTCTGCCCGGATAACACTCGCCGATGCCGAGTCGGAGCCAGAGGCGCCGAAGGGCAGCCGAGCTCTGGCCGATTACTACCTGCTATCTGGGTACCGCCTCTTCAGCCAGTGTTTTATAGTTAGGAAACATTTCTCCTAAGGAAGTGATCAGAAGTTTGCTGGATTTTCTGAATGTGGGATTTCCCGGTCTTGCAAGCACCTGTTTCACCAGGAAAAAACTGTGAGATTTTTGCAAATGTATGCAGCGGTGACAAGAGGAGACAAAACAAGGGCAATCGGCATCAGCTGGACAGGAGTGGGAATTACAGTTAGCTACAAATTACAATAGATCACCCTCAGCACAATCCGTCAAAATGACGGATCACCTTCAGATCTTTCAGTCACTGCTAAAAAAAACCCGTCAATGATGGAAAATATTCGGTTAAGGTGACCTCTGGTTTATGAGTGTTCTGTAATTTGCATGTGATGAAAGGCTTAAAAGGCTCTATTTTGACGGTCCATGCGCAAAGCGCAAAACGCAAAACGCAAAACGCAGGGCGCAAACGCTTTCAGGGCGTGCCAGAACGCGTCTTTGCTAATTTCAGGATGGGAAAACCTGCTTTGCGTCATGGCACATGATCTAAAAGGGTTGAGTTAATTTTCTTAATGAGTTATAGGTGTGTTTTGAGAATAAACCAATTAGAGTCTCATCTCCCATTCCCTCTAAGAGCCGGCTGCGTCGCGCCAAGAGCACATTTGCTATTTACAGGACGCAAAGTAAGTGTAAGTGGAAAAAATGAGCATTTCACAAGCAAACAGTTAACAGTTAACAGTTTTTTAACAGAAAACTGTTAAACAGAGCATCTACTGTGTGAGAATGAGAGATAATGGATCTACTTTCACATTCGCTCTTGGATAGGGAAACCTAAACGCACAGACATCAATTAGTCTATAAATAATTAATTTTGTTTGTGAAGCGCAAATATTCGTTTCAAAACTATTTCTAAATTCAGTTCTAATTTCCAGCAAACGAATAAATGAACAATAATAACAAAATGAGCTCAAAAACCTGAGTTATATCCTAAAACACATGCTGTGCCCCTTATGGTCTAAAACTTGGCAGGTGGGCAAATCTAAGCTTGTTTTTAATAAAACAAATATAAATATGGATATATTAAATAATGCTGCTAATAATAATAACATTATACAAAAGCAAATTGTTATGAATGAACTGAAAAAGCCTCCCGAGATGAAGAAGACATAAAAGCAGTGATTTTTCATATTTATGTAGGCTAGAAAATAATATGTTTTGTAATATTTTAATCCTTTATATTTATATTCTATATCTATTCTTATTATATCCTATATATGTCCTTAATATTTAAATTTTTTCATATGTAAAGATATTTGCCTATTGCTCTCTTGTGCGTATTAAGCAGTGTGTAAGCGAGGCGCAACTCTGCGGCGGAGTTTAGACCGGGTTAGTTTTGGTCAAATGAAAAATCTATTATAGTTTCTCAAAATAGCAACGCGGCAGCAGTGCGCCTCAGAACGCCTCCCTTTTTAGACCAGAACGCCTATGGGCGCACAAATGAGCGCTAATGCATTTGCTATTTAAACAGCGTAGCGCAACGCCTCAAAACGACTCTTGCCCCAAGCTTAAACTACCAAAAGACTGTTGTGCCGCGCCTTGCGCCACACTGCGCCGGGTGTATGATAGGGCCCAAAGTCTTTGTAAATTCAAAATGTAGAAAGTTTGTTTTGCTAGGTCACATTGTTATTCTTAAAACGAATAACTAATCTGGGCAAGTTCATCCACAAAAAAAAAAGAAATGTTTGTTGTAGTTATCTTTAAATTAAAATACCATTTGCTTCTATGTTTAGAGTGGCGGTCCTGAGTGATTCAATAGCAACTGTATATTAATACCCTCTCTTATCGTTAGTTTGCTATGAGGGAATGATGCGCAAAAGAAAGCCCTGTCCCCCTACTCGATATTCTGTTTCAGTTGGAAGTACATCAACATATTCAAACTAAAAGTCTCAGCAACTTCCACTTGATGCTGACTTTAATTGAAGGGTTGTGTGGAAAGTCCCTATATAGGGACACTTTACATGCGAGTTAATAGAGTCATCGTAACACTCATCTGCTGATGCATTTTAAGAGTGTCTCTTTCTGATTTTTCCCTCAGTGCCCCCTCTTATCCAACACTCCGACTCTCAGAGTGCTTCCATTGGTCAGCGTGTCTTCATCCCATGTGTGGTCATATCCGGCGACCTGCCCATGTCTATAACCTGGCACAAAGATGGACGACCAATCAACGCCAGCCTGGGTGTCACCATCGACAACATAGACTTCACCAGCTCACTGCGCATTTCAAACTTGTCGGAAATTCATAATGGCAGTTACACCTGCATCGCCCGGAATGAAGCTGCAGCCGTCGAACATAGCATACAGCTCATCGTTAAAGGTTTGAGATCAGTCTTACAACGTATACATTTAATTAATAATATTCATTCCAATTTTAAGTCATTTGATTAGTTTTTTTAGTATAATAAATGTGTTCTTTTGTATTTGCCACTAAGTTCTGTTTAAGTGAAGTTTGTTTATAAACTAATTTCGAGAGGAGCACGCGCTTATGATTGATAGCACCTGGTCCACATTAGCTAACGCTGATTCACCAATCAGACGACGCCTTAACCACTATAAATAACCAGAGTATCTTACCTCAACCATCTTCGTCTTGAAGAATCCCCCCTTCCACCCCTACTCCTCCCATTTCCTAATCAGGGCAGCACGGAGGCCTAGTGGTTAGCACCACGGTCGCACAGCAAGAATGCCACCGGCTCTGACTCTACCTGGCCAGGTCGGCGTTTCTGTGTGGAGTTCACATGTTCTCCTTGTGTTTGCGTGGGCTTTCACCGGGCTCTCCGGTTTCCTCCCACAGACCTAAAACATGTAACATAAGTAAATTGACAAATCTAAATTGACAGACACTTCATAGCATTTTATTCTACTTCCAACATTATCAGCAGAGGAGTACTCGAGACCTACCTGAACTCGGACTTCCCTCTCGCCCTGCAACAGGGGGAGCCCTGGGCTCAAAGATCTCACGAATTCAGGGCTCTGCATGCCAAACAAGCTTTATAATCAATCATCAGCTAAGGGCTAACTCTTAGAAAATGTTCATATTTAATGGTGCATTTGTAAACATTTTACATGCTTGTTATATTCTTTGTTTTTTTTGCATAGTTCCACCACATTTTGAGGTTCAGCCAAAAGACCAGGACGGCATATATGGGAAATCAGTTACCTTGAATTGTTCGGCAAAGGGAAATCCAATCCCCACTATAGTGTGGAACCACTCAAAAGGTATGCTAGTATTGGTGAATATTAATTTGTATGTCATTTTCTGTTGTTCGTGCAGTGTCTGTGTATGAATTTAGAATTTCTAAAGAAATCAGTAAATCTCACAAATGCTTTTCTAGGTAACATTTTAACAGATTATGTTATTAAAAGATGAAATATAAATACATAATATAAAATATTAAAGGGCCACGAAACCTCCCTGTCTCAGCAGTGTGTTTTCACACCTCTAGTTTTTAAAAAGTCAGGAAAGTGGGTGGGTCCAGCCTGTCCAGCTCTGGAATGTTTTGCATAAAAATGGGAGTTTCAGTTTGGGCACACTCTGATTTTCACTGAGGCAAAACAACACACAGACACAGGGGAGAAAGACAGTGACTGTGTTTACATGGACATCAGTAATCAAATTATTTGGCAAATTATTGATTTGTCAACTTTAACTGCAGTTTGGCACTTTCACTTTCATTCAAGAACATTTCATGCATGCCCCCCTAGACAAACGAGAAATTGGACGTGGGGAACTGCTGGAAGAGTGTAGTTTTAATGCAATCTTTGATACCGCACGTCGTATGAGAGAAAGAAAAAAAAACCCTCTGCATTTCTCTGTAACTTAGATGCAGTCGGTAGGTAGCGTCAGAAAGTTGTGTGTGTATAGTCTATCCTGTCACAAAATGTGGCAAAAATCCTTTACCACGGTAATCAACCCAAGCTCATTCTGAAAACGTAGTCCCACGGACGTTTCTGGAGACAGCGGAATACGTCCCGGGGCGTACGTACGGCCGCGTTTATTATTTTCAAGCGAACGCTGCGGGGCGGTGTGACGCTGTTCCCTTTCGCGCTTGCCTCACCTCCTTGCGGAGGGCTTCCCCGCTGCAACCCGTTTGTCCACTCAGCTCAGCGTGTACGTTGGCAGGCTCGATATGCGGAGAGGGGTCGACCACGGCGACCGGTTTTGAGTCCGGGGAAGGCCAGCTCCAGCAATCAGGTAAGACGAAAACAGAATCCCAAAAATTATGTGAACGAGTTTAGTGACAGGGTGAGAACGCGGCGAAATCCAAAAACGCGGTGGAATAAAAAAAAAATCAGGGCTTTTATTTTTTTGGACGGCTTTTGTGAACTGTCGCTCGGGTTCAGGGAAGCGAGCGGGCGGGCGGGTCCATCGGTAAAATTGGTCGAGTTCGGGGAAGGAGGAGGGCGAGTCGACCGATTGGCCAGTCGCGCAGTCAATCATCCGGTCAGTCGGACAGCGGCCTCCGGCGGGTTCATGCGAGAACAGCGTGGGCGCGAACCGTGCTCGCGGATTCGCGAAAACAAAAACTGCAGCCGTACGTACCCGCCGGGACGTATTCCGCGGTCTCCAGAAACGTCCGTGGGACTACGTTTCCACGTAGTAGGGTTGACGGCAATAGTTGAAGGTGTTTACATGTTTACACTTGAAGATCAACATTTAAAGCAGACCTTTCCAGGCACGTGCGCACATAGGGGATTAAACCTGTGCAGTGCACATGCCCTTTTTAGTCTTGGATAGAAAGTGCCCTTCCAAAATTATCAAAAGTGCCCCCGCGACACCCCCTCCCGCCATTAAATAGGCGCGCGACAACACCGCTCTTGAGTATGCCCACCCCCCCACCCCCACCCACTGTTCAATACGTGCGCGACAACGCCGCTGATCAGAACACGCATGACAACACCGCTCTACAGTACGCGCGCGACAACAACAACAACCCCCCGCTCTTCAAAAAATGTATCGTGTACTAGCCCTTTGGACAGTCTCTGCACAGTAGATATTGAAGTGATATTGCAGTGATATTAGCATACTGTAAACTTAAAGTATGTCTTTAAAACTGAAAGAGTACGATACGACGATACGAACTAACTTTGCCATCTGAATAAACATAAACAAAGACCACTGATTGCACACTTACCAAATCTGTAGAGACAAGACAATCAACACCAACTGGAACCGCATACTTTTTTAAAGAAGACAAGCGGCAAATCTGGATTTTACCATTTCTAGAAGCGAAAATCTTTTGGATGAAAATTTTTCCTTACAAACATGTTTTTGCCACGTTTTATCAGACCACTGTAATCCTTCAAAATTAATTTTCAAACTGGAAGAATGAATTTGCTCGAAATAATGCAAAAACAAACAATTTTCAACTTTTTTTTGTGAAATATATATGTTCTAATAGTATTTTTAGCAGCTTGGGACATCTGGAAAAATGTGTTTTGGTGTTTCAAAACCCTTTAAGACTGTGAAAAAGAAAAAAAAAGACTCTGTATTTTGCAAAAATAAAAAGCTTGTAATTATTAAATTGTGATAAAATACCTATATTTTTTAATGTAAAACAACAATTATGTTACCAAGGGTCATTGTTTATTGCTTTAGATATAATAAACAGCAACACATCTAATTAATTAACACTAACCAGTTCCCAGCTATTTTTTATTAATAACAATCACTTTTGTTTTACATCATTTGGCATAAAATCCTCAGCAGGTAAACCGATGATTGCAGGGACAGATTTGCATCTTTATTAGTAAGTAAAGACTGATAATTTAATTATTGAAATTATATTATTTTTAATAATTTTATTCATATCCAGTGCATCAATTTAAATCCATTATGATATTGTTGTACAGCAGGGGTGGTCAACCCGGTTCCTGGAGAGCCACCTTCCTGCAGATTTCAGTTGCAACCCATATCAAACACACCTGCCTGTAATTATCACATGGTGTTCAGGTCCTAATTAATTGGTTCAAGTGTGTTTAAAATGGGTTGCAACTGAAATCTGCAGGAAGGTTGCTCTCCAGGAACAGGGTTGGCCACCTCTGTTGTACATGATATAATGTACACCAAGCTACTTAAAAATATTTATACAAGAGTTCTGTCAGGTTTTTGAATCTGATTGGTTGATAGCCGTGTGATATTCTGCTAGTAACAGCACTGTCCAGCCTCTTAAGCCTTTACATTTGTGTATTACTCCGCCCAAATACAGCAACAAGCAGAGGACCCTCCATTAGCCTGTTATTGAGCAAAGACGGTTGACAATGTCCATCCACAAGATGGTGACATAGACCGTATAATAAGCCCTAAGAGAAAACAGAGTAATTTCAAACTACAGCTGATCAAATCATTATTAAACATGTTAATGACGTTCTAAGTCGATCTCTCTCTTTTATATGTTGTAGTGTTGTATTTATAACATAATAATATTGTGATCTCCCGATTGTAACAGAGAAATCCTGAGAGATATCTCTGTAGACTGAGATGGCAGACTGAAATGGCATTTCATTCCGTTCAGCCTTATAATCTTAAAATGTCAGCAAAATCACCTGTTTTGTCATCACTTTAGACATTACGCTAGAGAATCATTCAAATACTAGCTTTAAATAGACGTTGGTGAATTAGTAACAGCTTGAACTAACGACGTCAGCTGCAAATGTGAATGAATGGCGGAAGAAAGTAGTTCCTCTTACAAAAGGGTTTTGAGACTCTCCGTGTTTGATTTTCTTTTTTATACACACGATTATGGCGTTGAACTTTTGTATAAACACAATATCACACTCGTGGCAGCGTGATAGCAGTATATTTATAAATATGTGTGTTTTCTCTGGATCGACCTTCTAATAAAAGGGATCTGAAGCCGACACATTTGGTGTGGGCGTAATTAGAGTCTGGCTTTGGTAGTAATGTGGTTTGGGGGTTATCTGGACAGGTGGGCTGGACACAGGTGTATGTGGTCATGGTCAAAGAAGCTGAATTACTGGATTACAACAGGAGCAGGTGACTTGCTCGACTTTGATTCTCCCTGAAGGTGAAGCAGCGTTTGAAGCCCTCTCTACACATTGCAGATGAAAGCCTACAAATGGAAATCCATAATCACACGCACACATACACACACACCAAAAAAATGCTGCACATCAGGAGGGAGGAGTTCAGCTGAGTTTCGATGAAAGAAAAGAGGGTCAGATGGAGTTGGAGGAAAAAAAGAAAAAAAGATGGATAAGCAGGACAATTTTCTACAATGTTTTCTGCCATATGTTCAGACATCAAATTATAACATTCAGAAGTAAATGTTTCTGTTGTCGTCATCTTAAAGGGGTCCTGTTATGCTCCCTTTTTTCAAGATTTCAAATAAGTCTCTGATGTTCCTGTAGTGTGTACTGTATGTGAACCTTCAGCTCAAAATACTCCACAATCATTTTTTTATAACTCTTTAAAATTGCTCCTATTAGGCTTTGATCCAAATTGTGTCATTTTGGTGACTGTTGCTTTAAATTCAAATGAGATTTTACTTCCTGCCCTCTTTTCAAAAAAGGGTGGAGCTACACATGACTCTGATAGACTAGAGCCACATTAAAAACAGACTAAGGGCTCTATTTTGACGGTCCATGCACAGTGCGCAAAACGCAGGGCGCAAACGCTTTCAGGGCGTGTCAGAACACATTTTTGCTAATTTAAGGACGGAAAAATCTGCTTTGCGCCGTGGCGCATGGTCTAAAAGGGTTGAGTTTATTTTCTTAATGAGTTAAAGGTGTGTTTTGAGAATAAACCAACCAGAGTCTCATCTCCCATTCCCTTTAAGAGCCAGCTGCATCGCGCCAAGAGCGCATTCGCTATTTACAGGATGCAAAGTAAGTCTTAAGTGGAAAAAAATGAGCATTTCACAAGCAAACAGTTAACAGTTTTTTTTAACAGAAAACTGTTAAACAGAGCATCTACTGTGTGAGAATGAGAGATAATGGATCTACTTTCACATTCACTCTTGGATAGGGAAACCTTTACGCACAGACATTAATTAGTCTATAAATAAATAATTGTGTTTGTTAAGCACAAATATTCATTTCAAAACTATTTCTAAATTTAGTTCTAATTTCCAGCAAACTAATAAATGAATAACAATAACGAAGTGTGGTCAAAAACCTGAGTTATATCCTAAAACACATGCTGTGCCCCTTATCGTCTAAAACCTGACAGGTGGGCAAATCTAAGCTTGTTTTTAATAAAACAAATATAAATATGGATATAATAAATAATACTGCTAATAATGATAACATTATACAAAAGCAAATTGTTATGAATGAACTGAAAAAGCCTCCCGAGATGAAGAAGACATAAAAGCAGTGATTTTTCATATTTATGTAGGCTAGAAAATAATATGTTTTGTAATATTTTAATCCTTTATATTTATATCCTATATCTATTCTTATTATATCCAATATATATCCTTAATATTTAAATTTTTTCATATGTAAAGATATTTGCCTATTGCTCTCTTGTGCGTATTAAGCAGTGCGTAAGCGAGACGCAACTCTGCGCAATCTCTGGGCTTGCTGCATAACAAATACCAAAACTTTAGCAATTTATAAAAAAATTGATCACTTTCTGGCCATTGGATATTAGGCATGGACATATATATTGCGATCGTGATTTTCGAAAGCATTTTATCACTTTGTAAACGTTTATTATTACCATTTCATGAGTCTCCCCATACAGTTGAATAGAGCGCTTGGACAAGGAAGCCACTTCGCGTGACATCACACTTAACGAGCGGATATTAATGGGGGTAAGATCGTCACTAGTCTGCGGGACTTTTGCCCTCTAATGAATTGTACAAAGGGATACTGTCATTCAAAGTGTTTCTGCAGACTGTTTTTGTCAAGTGTGATTATAAAGAATGTAATTAATACATTTTTGCCATTAGAGGCTGGCTATAACCACATGCTTTTGCCACACAACTGTGTTTAAACCCTGTGTAAAAGTGATTTTTGGGTAATAAGTCCCCTTTAATTTTGTAAAGCCTGTCAGATAAATCACTAAAAGAAAAAAGGAACACATCAGCTTCATTCAGAGGCACAACTTTAGCACAAACAAACAAACAGTTGGTGCAGTTGTGGCTGTTTAAATGGCTAAAATGTAAGTTGACAATATAATACTGTTCACTAAAAGAAAAACCTCTGTAAAAACAGGACTGTTTACCATAAATTAAAAACAGAAATTGTCTGTTGATTAACAGTGTGTCCACATAAAAAAAAAACTAAAAAATATTAGTTTTTTGATGGTTAAACTACTGTAAAAAAATTTATATTAATTTAAGTGTAATTTAAAATTTAAAAAATTTAAGTTATTTTCTGTGTTTTTAAGAGAATACCAACAGCAATAAATTGGACAGATTCTGTGATTTAAAGGCATACCTACAGTAAACTCATTTAATGCTAGTCAAGCAGTATAAAAATGGCAAATGTTAAGTATACATACATATCTATGTAGTTTATACAGTGTCAGTCAATAAGACCTTTAAAGTAGTAAAGGGGTGGCAGTGCAGTCCCAGCTGGGCCAGTTGGCATTTCTGTGTAGAGCTTGCATGTTTTTTCCCGTGTTTGTGTGGGCTTCCTCTAGGTGCTTCGTTTTCCCCTACAGTCCAAAGACATGCGCTACAGGTGAATTGGATTAATTAAATTGGCCGTAGTGAGAGTGTATTGGTGTTTCTCAGTACTGGGTTTCAGCTGGAAGAGTATCCTCTGTTTAAAACACATGCTTTATAAATTGGTGGTTCATGAATAAAGGGACTAACCCGAAGGGAAATGAATGGATACTGTGCAGCTAACTGCCTATAATTTACTGACTAAAATTGAGCCCTGGTCACCCTCAGAAAACAAAGTTGATGTGAAAACTCATGTAGATCTGAAAAACCTGATGAAGAGTTTTTCAGCATATGTTGGTATGTAGATCTGAAGTGGCTTATTTTTATCCATACAGCCCATTTAAAAATTTCAAAATGAATATATTTCAGAAAAGTGTATATCTTAACTGTTAGTCAAAGTTGTTTTATTTTGTTGCCAGATATGCTGTAGCTTTGGCAGATTAAATTGCTGGTGTGGTATTATGGTTAATGTTATTTTATTGAATCCCTCACTGTCCACTAATCCTAATCCAGACATGACACACCAGATACAAAACACTTCCCCTCAGAGATCTATAAATCTAATAAAGAAATCGTTAAATGCAAACACAGCATAACTGGAGAGGAAATTAAACCTAAAAGGATATAATTCTAATGTATTAACAGATGTTTAAGATTACAATATTTTTATCCTATTTTATTAGAGCTGACTTCAAGTGAATTATATTTTAGACTATATGTATAAAGCTGAACGTTTATAACAGATATTTCTCCAGGCTTCTTTTAGAACTCCTTTTTATTGTGATATTGTGATTTGTTGCTTATGTGGCTGCTAATACCTTTTAAAATATTGTATTATTAGTGATACATCATTCAAAAGTTTGCATACAATTAAAAGAAGAGCCAGAATAAAAATGTAATACCTGTAATTAGAGTTTGCAGTCAAGCAAATGTCTTGATCTATCGCAGTCTTTAAATTATTTGAATCATGTATCTGTGTTGGAATAACTTCTGAAAAATGCCTAAGCTGGAAGCTCCATCTGACGTTTACATTTTAGAAATAATCCATGGAAAGTATAACTGTTATTAAAATCATTTTTAACATACCAAAGCAATTGGAATTTGAAAGCCAAAAAATAACAAAGCTAACTGTGATTAAATAGCAGATTTAGTCATAATAATATTTCCACAAAGCTGAGATGTTTACCTGGTATAGTTATTCCATGCTGTGTTCACAAAATACATTTACATTTAGTCATTTAGCTGACGCTTTTATCCAAAGCGACTTACAAATGAGGACAAGGAAGCAATTTACACAACTATAAGAGCAACAATAAATAAGTCCTGTAGGCAAGTTTCAGGTATGTAAAGTGTAAGACGCAAAACATTCGTTTTTTTATTTATTTATTTTTTGTAATACAGTTAGCGGTGGAGCCAGAGAGGGAATTGCAGATTAGGAAGGAAAGTGGAGACTAAATAGTTGAGTTTTTAGTCGTTTCTTGAAGACAGCAAGTGACTCTGCCGTTCTGATGTAGTTAGGGAGTTCATTCCACCAACTGGGCAGACTGAAGTGATTTCTTCCCTCTTTGGGATGGAACCACGAGGCGACGTTCATTCACAGAACGCAAGTTTCTGGAGGGCACATAAATCTGCAGAAGTGAGAGCAGATAAGACAGAGCAAAGCCAGAAGTCACTTTGTAAGCAAACATCAGAGCTTTGAATTTGATGCGAGCAGCAACTGGCAGCCAGTGCAAACGGATGAGCAGCGGAGTGACATGTGCTCTTTTAGGTTCATTAAAGACCTTTCGTGTTTCCCAAAACTGTTGCTTGTGCTCTCAGTTCTTGGTTACGGCAATAAGGATGTGTAAAACATATGTCAGAGTAGTCGGCAGTTCATTCCTCTGTGACAACCACTGATAAAACAGGGAATAAGCTGACTGAAAGTGAGTTAGTAAATGTAAATAAAATTTAACAATAATATGACTAATTTTATTACGTTTTTGGTGCAAAATTAGCAAGTACAAGATGCCAAACATTGAAAAATCTCTACTGTTTTATACTTTAGAACAGAGATGTCCAAAGTAGGGCCTGTGGGCCAAAGTTGGTGGTGCCTTTAACACAGACATTGTCATTTCTAATTTTTACGTAACCTTTATTTTGTTCCTTTTATTGCTTTTTATTTAATTTATTTAGAGAAAAATAGAATGAAATGTTCCAATTAAATGTTGTAACTGAATCTTAAATCGAATTGTCGTAAATACGATCACTAGACGGATAGAGGACTATGCAAAAGACATCGCTAAGCAAATCAAGGCAAAAACTAGTGTAGTTTTGTTATAAATGAGTTTGTTTTGTTTATAATGTAATAAGTTCATTATAAAATGTAAAAGAATACCGGATTAGTTAATATAAAGCAATGTTTTCTAGACATTGTTAAACATTATTCATTAAATTAGGAAATTACCCATGGCAAATATTTACCTTCGGCCAACTAGCCCCGATCAGGGTTTTTGGCCCTTCATAGAAAAATGTTTGGGCACCCCATTTTTTAGACGAATGAATATGTACAGTAATATTTAAAAATGCAGAGTATGGGTTGTCTATTTATCTTCTCTTTTCTGTGGTAGGTGCTGGCGTTCCTCAGTTCCAGCCCATTGCCTTGAATTCTGGCTCCCGCGTCCAGCTCCTGGAGAACGGCTCTCTGCTCATAAAACACGTCCTGGAGGAAGATGCTGGATTTTATCTGTGCAAGGTCAGCAATGACGTGGGAGCCGATATCAGCAAGAGCATGTACCTCACCGTTAAAAGTAAGACCCTGTCAAGTGTATATGTGTGTGTGCGTGTAAATGTATGAAGTAATTCACTACCAATGCAATTTTTTTGCATAGCAGTTTAAATGCTACATCATTTAAAAGCAGTTTTATGGAAATAAAGCTTTATTCTACTTTAATATTATTAAGTAGTTATTATGTCAAAAGAATTGTTCATATTTTACGTTCATATTTCCCAAAGTGATGATTACGTTATGTGATCATAAGCAAGCGACGATGACCAGGGTTTAAGCGGGTTACGAGGGGTTACAGGAAGCCAGTTTACAGGAATACAGGATTCCAGGACAACCCAAAATGTATAATTACAGTAAAACATGTCTATGATGAAGTACACACTGTCACACACACAGTCTAATGAAATATTTCAATTTAATAACAACATAATAAATAATTATTAAACATGCTTATATATTTTGTGTCATATGTAGATATCTCACATGAATGTTTAGGAACAAAAAGCTTACTGACAACTTTTTCTGAGTAATTCTTTACGTATAATACTTTTCACTATTTTTACTGTAAACATAATAAGGCATGATCGAAAAAAATAGAATATCTGAAAATGAAAATTATTTACAAAATAAACCAAAAGCAGCAAATACATTAGCAAAGAGTTCAGCTTATTAAAATTAATCGCTATTACAATGAAATAGCTACCAAATCTCATTAGCCATTTCGTTACTGTATAACTTACACATTCTGATTAAAGGGCAACGAATGAATCTCTCATTTATTTAGATTTTTTCATGTGATTACATTAAATAACAGGTGTCACTTTGAAAATGCACACATCTAACATTATAATGAAAGCTTTCGACTGCTTTCCTGACTTTTTATGCTCATTTAAGACGAAATTAGTTGTGTTTGATAAAAAAACACCAAGATCGACATCTTTAGATAATATTATTATTATTTATGTGTATATGTCTGTTCAAACATGCACCCAAAACCCAGTCTTACTCTCCGCTTCATATCGCGTGCACAGAATCCGTTTGGGATACAGCGTCTATTTATCACTATGAAGCGCGTCAGCTGACAGTCATGAACCATTATATGCTTGTTTTGAGGATTGTATAGGAGGGGTGACGGCACCTGTAACGAAAAGGAAGGGTAATCACGCCATTTTATATTTATTTCAAAGTGTTTTCGTGCCAAAACAAAGCGAAAGCACAGAAAAACTCGCATATAGGAGCAAGGGGGGGCCTCTAGTGGTTCGGTTGTATGGGTTGCGTATAGAGAGGTTCGGCTCTTGAATGTTTCTTGCCACCCTTCAGAGAAAGACTAAAGATACAGGATAAATATGGGAAAATACCTTTACTGGATGATAGCGGGATAGAACTGTAAAATACGGCAGAATCCCGGGAAAAACGGGAGGGTTGACAGGTGTGATTTAGAACGATATTAATTTCTATTTTAGTGACTTACTGCTAAAAATGAAAGATAGAAATTAATAAAGTGGTCTTTTGCAGCCATCTAGTGGCTATAATGGTTTTAAGCAGAAATTAACATTGAAGTATGTTTAATTACATTTAGTGACAAAAATGGTATAAAAAATAGTATAAATAAAATAATAGACAATCAATAAACATAAAAAACTCAAAATCACCACCTAGTGGTTGATTTCATTCAAGATTTTTACAGACCTCTAGACCCATGAGTCCAATATGCCCACCAAGTTTCATTCTGATCTACTACTTTGGCTAATGGGTGCTCAAATTTAATTGGCAAATGGCGGCTAGTTTTTTACAGTATGTCCTTTCCCCTTTCAGGAAATACACTGCATGCCAAATTCAAGTTGATCCATTTAGTGGCTAAAATGGTAATTGGAACACTGTATTAAGCATCAACATACATTGAAACACTGTGTTTTTCAGATCTGGCCCAATCTCCACAAAATTTTCCATGTTTGCTAATATTGATATGTCACATGCTCACCAAATTCAGTGATGTTTTGAGTTTTCCTTATGGGTTTACAGTCATGTAGGTTCATGTAGACGCACCCCTTTTGTAAATGAGCCTGTTGTAGCTGTCCAAAGTAGAAAGTTAATTATTTTTTTTTATAATTATTGATCTACTCAGTCCAGAGATTCTTACAACACTGGTTTCGTTGTGATTGAGCTAAAAAAAACAGGGACTAGTTCACAAAAGTAGATCTTTCATGTATAGTCTGATTTGTTTTATTTCGGCTATAATGAAAGCAGCTTTTAACTTTTTAAAAAACATTTTTAGGCTTTTTTTTTTTTTTTGATAGTCTACAGAATAAACCACTGTTATACAATAAGTTACCTAATTACCCAAACCTGCCTAGTTAACCTAATTAACCTAGTTAAGTCTTTAAATTGCACCTTAAGCTGAATACTAGTATTTTGAAAAACATCTAGTAAAATACTACGTACTGTCATCGTGGCAAAGATAAAATAAATCTCTTATAAGAAATAATTAGTTATTAAAACTATTATGTTTAGAAATGTGTTGGAAAAAAAATCTTCTTTCCATCAAACAGAAATTGGGGAAAAAATATACAGGGGGGCTAATAATTCCGGGTATTATTTTAAGCTGTATTATTTTAAATGTTTTGTTTATGTAATTTTTGGTTCTTTGTTTATACTGTGCCACTCTATCTCAGGAGCGCGCTCGTGTGTGTGTGTGTAACTGAGTGTGTGTCTGGGCCTGAGGGTCTTCTGCCCTGTTGACTACTGTGTGTACGGTAGTGTGCTCCTTGGTCAACTGTTTATTTGTTGAGCAGGCAAAGACTTACGTCCCCTCCATTAAACCCACTACACAGCATTTATGCCCACTCTGGCATGAGGAGAAGTGAGCAGTGGCACTCGTTTTTTGCATTACGCCACTTTCCTTTGGACTCTTTTTACGTCACTTTCCTTTGGACTCTTATCGTAAAACAAATAAGATCAGAAAGTGCAATGTACTAATAGCCTACTAGTAGCGTACTGTAATGCCTGCAATTATATAAGATAAATTAAAAAGGCAACATATATGAACACATACACACCCTTACAGTCTCCTATATGTTATCAATTACATTAAAACTACACACAGCATATATTTAGTCCTTTTTTGGGTTCAAAAACAACACAATATACCACATGATGTATATATATATTTGTGTGTGTGTGTATATATATATATATATATATATATATATATATATATATATATATATATATCCTTTGTTTCTTCGTGCTTCTCTCACTTTGTCCTTTTCTGAAAGGATCAGATGTCGGAAGCACTTCAATAATCACGCTCAAGAAGTTAGTTATTTCAAATGACATGGTATAGAAAGTTATAGAAAGAGTATATGGAATTAAGTTTCTTGGTTTTGTATGTCCGTGGTTCTCAAACATTTAAGCCAGCGACCCCCAATGTAAGATCGTTAAGAACTCGTGCAACCCACCACTACCAAAGCATATACAAACAATAAAAATAACTTATTTTAAGCTGTCACAATATTTTAACTATATTTACTATACATTACAGGGCTCGGAATTAACATTTTTGCTTGGTAGAACTGGTGCTCCTAACTTTAAAAAATGTATGCGCACCAGCCAAAATTGAGTCGCACCCACCACATTTGATGAGCACTGTGACTACAAGTTTTATAAACAGATTTGTTGCATTTTAAATCAACACTAATCAAAACTAAAAAGCCAAAAAAAAAATAAAAAATTGCATGCGTGAGGAAAATATGTCCAAACAAAAACCCGTAATCACAAGAAAATACATTTTTATAACGTAATTGATTGACCAAAAGATACACTGACCGCTTACCGGCCCCTGCACGCACTGCTTGGCATGAATGAATCTGTTAACGATATGTTACTGTGCTGTGTTCTCACGGGTACTGTCTGATATTGCACAGATGCTTTTGACATATAACTTATTATTTACATACGTAATTTTAATAGCAATACTGTTTTTTTCATGAGCTGCAATGTTAGTTTAATCTTAATCAGTGCAGGCCCTTTTGCGATGGTGTACTTTACGGGGTGTTAAATTTTACATAAAGCTGCCACTTGCAAGGCTGACAGCATCTGGCGGTTAAATGAAGGATTAAAAAGAACCTCTTGTGCTTAAAATGTGTAGATGTGGCAAACAGTTACCTGAAAGCTCCGTCCCATAGACTTTACAGTGAATGATTTAATTATTGTCATCCCGGACTTGAAGCCAATGGATGTCTTTTATCCACTCTTCCAAAAGTGTAGATGGTGGATTAACATTCACCACATAATCAGTAATCAGATGTGCCATTATTTGAAGCTTTAGTTGGTTTGTAAATCAAAATCTATCAGTGTTGTTTTCATTCTCTCATCTTCAGCGCGTTACATGTTCGTGGTTGTAGCTCAGCTCTCCCTGTCATCTGAATGCAGAAGGCGTTGACTGAGTGATTGTCAGCTTGATTTCAACCAATCCATTCGCGTTCAGTTCTAGAGCAGTGGGCCAATCAGAAGAGCGTGAAGGCGGGCAAGCGTTGCGGTCTTTGTTTACTTCAGCAAGTTGACATGACAACTGTTTTAAAAAGGTTCCTGAGCGCCGCGTTTCAAGTGCAAAGATGCATAATGCCTAAATGTCTCCCAAATCCTTTATGAATTTAGTCAAAGTAGACGGTTCCGATGATTCAGGCAAATTGTCCAGTTTCCTCAACATTTTTAGATTTGCGAATTATAAATTTATCAATCTCTGCAGATGCGGTTTTCACATCCAGATGCGTGGTGTATTGATAACTATCGAGTTATCCGCTGCACAGTTATGATGTTCCATTCACCTTTTTAAATACTAACTTCACTAATGTCTTTCAAAAATCTGACAATATTAGCTTTCACTTGTAATACTGAAAATGAGATGATCACTGAGAATTACACAATTTTTAAATCACTCTCGCAACCTCTTAAAATTCTTCTGCGATCCCCGCAGGGGTCACAACCCCCAGTTTGAGAACCACTGTTGTATTGGACCATAAC